CAGAGGGCCGATGATGGAGCCTTGTGGCAGCTCAAAATCACGTCAGCGCTGATGCTTGACGTGGTGTTATTGATACGCACACATTGACTCCGTCCAGATAGTTAGGACTTTATCCAAGCCAGAGTTTACAGACAGTTTAAATTTTGTTAATTTTGTAATTAATGTGGGGTGACTAACGGTGTCAAATGCTTTGCAAGGTCTAAGATTCTTAGACTAAGAATGTTGCTCGTACTACTCCTCCATTATCAAGCTTTTGTTTAATTGTTTCTATGAGAAGGCTGTTTCGGTCGAGTGCTTTGCTCGAAAACCAAACTGCATGGGATGTAAAAGGCCTTCATCCTCCAGATGTTGTGTGAGCTGTTCTATTGTTTTTGATATAACGGGAATCATACTAATTGGTCTGTAATTGTTGGCGTCTTTTTTATTTCCTCCTTTGTGGATTGGAATGATAGTGGCTGTTTTAAGTGTGACAGGGAATGTGTTTTCAGTTATAGACTGATTTATCAATCTTGTTATTGGAGTGAGGGAATCTTTGTACATTTTTAAGAGTAAAGTGTCCATACCATGTATGTCCTTTTGATAATTTTGGTTTCATTTGTTACTTCTAAAATTAGTCCATTATGATTAAATGCCAATTTGTTGCACTGATTTTGTGGAAAGTTTAAGGGTTTGCACGGACTGGATGAAATGGTCATTAAAATAGTTACTGATGTCAAGACTGTCAGTAACAGTAGTACCATTAATATCTAATGATATAGTGTTATTCTTTGTTTTCCCTCTTCCAGTGTGTGTGTGTGTGTGTGTGCCTGTGTGTGCTCAGTTACTAGCCTCAGAAGCTAGTCAGATTGAAACTGTGTGTGTTCCTCGCTTGAAGTCTAAAGCACTATATGCGAGGAAATCTGACCTGGGTGTCAGACACAGTAACTTAATAAAAGTTCAGACAGACAGAAATAGTTGTAAAAGTAGGGTTGTTAAATGTGGATTAATGAACGTCAGATCAATCTCGTCTAAATCGATTCTCATAAACAAACTTATTATAGACAAGGGCTTGGATCTGTTTGCGCTCTCGGAGACTTGGCTCCAACAGGACGACTACGTTAGATTGAATGAGTGCACTCCTCCGACGCATGTTAAAGCTGCACTAACTGACTTTGGGATTTTGAAGCTGCGGACGCGCTGGCCTCTCTCTTTCTGCTCCCCTCCCCGCACCCACGAAGCTATCGCCCCCCACACACACCCACTGTTGTTGACGGAGCTAGCGTCTCTCAATATGGATAATACATGGACATGGATTTGCACGTGGATGGCGTGACCATAGAACGATAGAACCGGGAAGCGCGGAGGAAAGAGACTTTCTTTTGGATGGCTGTTTCGCTGAGTAAGCAGTAACCGGTGATGAAGACGAGGAAGCTTCAGGTTAGCTCCGCCGCTTGTTGTGCTAACTCAGCTGTCTGTGCTAACGGACCTGTATATTTCTCACGAAAGTGGGGGCCAGTGGTCCGCTGTGATTGGTCACAATCTGCGACCCGAAACACATTCTCTTCCTTGTTTCATCAAAACTCGATCTAAAATATAAAGTCAAGCCAGCACAAATCTGCGCTTCTTTTTCTTCAAAAGGACGTATATCCCAATCCACTACATGGACATGGATAGCACTTTCATAATGAATACAAAAATATAGTCAGTTAGCGCAGCTTTAACTACCAGAAAGCGAGAACTACAGGTCGCGGCGGTGGCGTTGCGATTATATCACACACCAACTTACTTCTTAGTCCCAAAACCAACAATGCTTTTCACTCGTTTGAAAACTTAACACTTTCAATCACCTGTCCTGGGTGGAGAAAACAAAAAGCGGTGTTATTTATAGTTTTATACCGACCTCCTGGTCCTTACAGCGAAAACATGTCTTCTGTCTGAATTTAAGACGCGATCCCAGACATGTCATCTTCTTCAGGTGGTGGAAGGATGCGGGCATTGTCTGTAACATCTACAGAACAGAAGACTACTTTTTTTTACACAAAAATTTGGGGTTTTTTTCAAGCCAAAACTGAGAAACCTTGCATCTGGATCAGCACATGGACAATCTGCACAGCCCCTGATTCCAGTCAGGCCTGCTGTGAGCTGCTGAGACATGGACAATACCAGCGTCCTCTTTTGCATGGACACCATTTGGAACAATTGGATTACACAATTTGGACATAATTTGGAACAATTGGATATCTGAATTTGGCCACAATCTGGACTGAATTGGATAGCTGAATCTGGACACTGAAGCTGAAACGTGTGATTGAAAGACACGTCACAGAAGAATTCATGGCTCAACACAACAAATGCAGCCTGAAGAAATCAACACGGAGAAGTGGGAGAGACAGTCACATCATAGTCAAAATAATCAGAGTCCTTGTAGAGTCCTGCACTTAGGCCATATTGCTATCTAATACTAACACAAGGTTCAAAGAACTAATACAGCCAATGTTGAATACTGCTGCAGGTGAACCTCCTCACAGCTGCTGCAGTCCCTCAGTCATTGACCAAACGGTGGACAACACTATGGAGTCTTTAAAATCTGCATTAAATGCAGCAGCTCCTTTAAAACAGAAAACTATTAGGATTAGATCATCGTCGCCCTGGTACAGTGTTCAACTCCACACTTTAAAACAGGACGTCAGAAAATTGGAGAGGCTATATCGCCACTCCCACTTGGAGCCTGTCCACAGGGAGTGGAAAGTAGGTCTCCGAAACTACAAGAATGCCCTTCGCAGGGCTCGAACTCAATACTATTCAACTTTAATTGAAGCGAATAAAAATAACAGTAGATTTTTGTTTAGCACCGTCGCGAAACTCACAAACTGCCATAGCAGTTGCTTTACTTCCGCAGTGGAAGTGTGTAGACGTGTTCCTTGGTGCTCCGCTGCTTGCTTCGCTTTGTAATCTCTTTTAATCGCTTTATTTACATTTTTATTCTACAAAACACGGATTACTCCTTCTGCAGACTTCAGCTTTGTGAAATTTGTCAACATTAATCATGTCCGGACGGAAGAAACGAAGACAAATCTGCGATGGCTGCTGCTCTCTGGAAAATGAGCTCAAATTTCTTCAAAAACGGATGGATATTTTGGAAACAGAAATGGGACTTAACCAGACTCATTCTTTGCACTCGGCCAGATGACTTTATTGCAAGTTATCCACCAGGTTTTGCAGTTTGAACTTAATAGATATCTGAAAAATGCACCACCAGTTGTGATGTAATATACATTAACATGGTTTGTATGAAACAGAATTCTGAGAAAAACAGGTTTACAAGGATCGACCTTTCCAAACATAATCATCACAGTCATATAACAATGTAAATTTTGAATTACTCTGTTATGGCACACTTGTTTTATTCACTATGTTGTAAGAAGATTAAAAAGATGTTACTATGGCACCAATTAACACTCAACACTCATGAATTAGTCGAAAATCAAGAATGTATTGATTCTTTCAATAATCAATGGATTGAATTTTGACCTCCTCTTCTTTTTCTTTCTTTTTATAATTTACTGGATAATTAGATATGTATTAGACATTGGCCAGTATTATTCTATCGAAATCACGCAGTACTAAAGTCCGGGGGGGGGGGGGGGATCCACAACCACCAAGCATTTTTAATGCAGGAGAAACTTAGTAACTTACACACAAATAAAACAAATGGACCTGTCCGACTCGAGTGTCTATGCTTGTGTGTCTCTGGTTCTGTCCAAGTGTCTATATCCCGCGTGTCTCGCGTGACTCCGCCTGTCTGGGTTCTGTCTGAACCCCAATCGTCCAAGCAAAAGTCTTGGACAATCCTGCTACGCCACACAGGCGCTGGAGAAAACACTGGATCTAATAGGAGAGAGCGCTGAGTGAATGAGCCGTGCGTATGTGCGGGACGCTTAAAATGCCTTATATGCAAGTTAATGCAAATGTTTGCCATATGATCTACTACTCCTGTGCATTTTAGAATTCCTAATTAATGGTAGCTATATGTAACAGGTGTAGTTTAAATTTGTGTAATTATACACAGCCTATATATTGCTAATCAAAGTAAAAGTATTCAGAATACAGTGTACACTCGTGTTTGTTTTGTTCCAATGTTTCACGTTCAATAACGCACTTGCTGCTGGCTATCCCATACTGTAGAAGAAGTCAGAAAGGAACTTTTGAGAAGAAGTGTTTTTATAAAAAAATAAGTAAAAATAAGTAATAAAGTGAAATACAATTGTATTGTTACAGTACTTACAATACAGTGCAGTAAGTTAGTACAGTGTTTTACAGAGTCAATCCTTTGACTTTAAACCGCGTTTTGATAGGCCCGAAGTGAGCAAAAAATCCTTTAGACAAGGAAAGAAGATAACAAGCTGATAACGTTACGTAATTGCACACAAGCAACCAAAAGGTGTGCAACCAAAATTGCCTCAGACAAGAATCGAACCCAGATCCCCCATGTCCTAACCTGCAACTCAAACCATTCGGCCAACATAGTATCGCTAGTCAAATGGCGTTTGCACGCAGAGTTATACCTGAGCGTTTAAGTCGCTGGCAGAGCTAAAGCAGACTTAACCTGCCACCTTGTGGCGATAAGATTTAATATGTTTCACGCAGCTGCGTGATTCATGAAAAGCGTGAATGAAGACGACAAAACGAAATGGGACCTACTGTATGTGATTGGTTGCCATTGTTGGATAAAGTTTATTTTCAGGTATGAAATGACTTCTTGTTTACCTCGGAACTTAGCGTGATGCTACGTCACAGTGCGGGCGGGGGGAGATGACATCAGCTCTATATACAAAATGGCTATAATTTGATGTGTTTTGAGTGTTGTATGGTGTATCACCCATATTATTATCACACATGTGCACAGGCTGGACTGTGGAAAATTAAGAGAAGCGAAATATGGCACCTTCAAAGCAGTAGTCCTGTTTATAGCAGCACCTCTGACCATGGTCCTGATCTCAGGCTTGGTCCTCGTGACTCACCTTGATCAGGTTCTTGTACTGGTACCCGGGGTTAGTAGAGCCCTTCCTCAGCAGCTCACTGAAGATCACCATTTGTTCAAAGAGGAAAACTCTGCGTTCTTTACTGCGAGACAGCACTCCTCCATCCTGCTCCCACACACAGAAGGTCTCCTGCAGGAGGAGGACCTGGGCACTCAGCTTCCCCTTAAAATAAAATAAAATAAATACTGTTAAATATATTCTCACATGTACTGTTCCTGAATATATACTGTCATATATAGTGTTGTATATATATATATATATACACACACTGTTATATAGTACAATATATGAGCTCTATCTGGTCTTTCTGATATCTCTCTCTGGTCTGGTCTCTCTCTGTTCTCTTTCTGGTCTTTCAGTGATGTGTGAGCAGAGCTGACCTCGTATCCTTGTAGTCGGCCAAGGTTCATCATGTCGTTACATCGTTTGGGAACCAGAGACATCACCTCCACGGCTTTCTACACGCACACACACACATTTAAACATACAAAGAATATCATGTGAACACAACTGTAAAAGGACATGATTTTCTTAAAACTGGGGTCTGTAACTTTAGTCTCATAAATAACACGTGAAGAAGATGACAAAGTCTGGGGATCGTGTCTTTAATTCAAACAGAAGACATGGTTTATTGTCGATGGTAGACGGCACGAACAAAGATGTTACAGAATACAAGTGATATTATACAGCACGGAGGAATGGAGACCTCCATTCAGCTATCGCCACGGTGCCAGTAGCTTCAACCTTGAGATACCAAAACATGCAATGGAAAAGTACTGCCTCGTGCATATGTTAGAATGATGAGTTAGAACTTTAACCACAGTTGCTTCAAAGTGTCATGGAATCTCTAAACACGTTATGTAAGCCCAATCCTGACATTTCTATGACAGAACAATCAGAGTGCAAGTGGAACGTGAGGAAGTGTTGCAGCTGCTGAGGACCAACAAGGCTAAGTTGTGATCCTTAAGCAGAGGAGAACTAAGACTTGTGTCGGAGAAGCTTCATTCGTTCATTCTCGGAGGGATCAATGACAAGGATCTTTCTGTGAAGATTCCAGACTAAGAAACAGCGTTCTGGACTAATTGGCCCTCGTCCAAATGTGTGAGCGGTGATGACAGCAGAAAGCAGCAGCATGTACTTAAGCATGTTCATGAGGCTGTTTTCAGGAGACACTTGCAGACAATCCAAACCTGTTAGGAAGACAGCGGAGCGGACTTTTTTTCTTCTTAAATCCTTTGGTTTTCTTTAAATCCACACTTTACTGCCACAAACTCTTTTAGTTTCCTTCCCGCTCTGGCTCTGCTCTAGCCTTGCCATAGCCATCCGTACACTCCGCTCAATCATAATTTCACTGCATGCAGCGTCTGGGTCTGGTCCTTGTGTTAGCGAATACAATCGGTCGTATTTCGACCGGCTACTCAGAGAGCTCGTTGTAGGTCGGTGCCGGTGACGTCAAGAGTTTGTGCTGAATGGGCAGGTTGTGGTTTGGCAATGGCCAAGAATGCGATAGTAAAGTAATCCGGTCTGGTTCTATAAAGAAATTGAAGCAGGAGCAAGAGGAATGTTTAGCAAATGTAATCGCTGGTCAAGATTGTGACGCTACTCCCCACGGGCTCCGTTAGCGGCAAAGGAGATGGCTAGGCTAAATGCTAATGCTAACAGCTCACTCGGGCGCATTACATACGTAACGGTAAACTCAGATCCAATCGTTTCAATCTGCAAAAGGAGTTAACCCCTCCCACCTGTTCACAGAGCTCAATGGAGCAAATCCAGACCTTAGTATGAAATTAAATTTGTACTAAGGTGTGGTACAACCAGGCTAGCTTTGCTCTACCGCTGCTCTGATCAGCAGCTCTGATTGGTCAGAGAGCGGCTGAGAACCTCTGCACGTGCATGAGAGCTCGTCCACTGCGCAGAACTGGGAGGACCAGAGGATGCCCAAATATAAGCCATTAATTTGAATAGGGCGCCATCTTGGCTCAACGGGGCTCGGTGTGTTCTGAAAGTTACGTACCCCAGCTTTAAGCCCCATTCACATAACCACATGCAGCAGAACTAAAGTGAAGCAGACTGACCTCAGCCTCCTCAGAGTCCTGTCCGGCTTTTGACGTGTACTTGAGGAAGTCCTGCACAAACACAGCGTCAAGGGCTTACATTGCGGGTTTTACATGGGGGGGCAGGTGTGTCCTGTTACCTTGAGCAGAAGCTGGTATTTGGTGATTCTCTGCACTGGTTTTATCAAATAGTCGCTGATAGACATTCGACAGCTGATCTCACGCTGGATCTCCTGGAGAAACACACAGTTAAGAATTAAGACACACACAACACACATTTATGAACAAACACACAACACAAACTTTTTACCTCAAAGAATTTCTCATATTCGTTGACAAGGAACTCAGACCTGGGTTTATTCTGGCAGTAAACAATGTACATTTGCAACCGCCGCTCCTGCAACCAACATTAGTCAGGATTAGGACTAGGACCAGGTGTAAAGCAGGTCTAAAGTAGGTCTAAAGTGACCTACTTCAGCAGGACAATCAGACTCACATGTCGGATGAAGAGCTCGGGCAGTAGGTCGTGGTTCTGGGCACATCTCTCCAGCTCCACCAGAAACAAACTTCAGCACAAACATATATAATTAGGGACAGCTTTAATCACTGCGGTTATATGGTAAGCCATGTGGTTCTATTTCATATGTTGCTTCAGCCCTTTAGGCTTCGCTATTGCATATCTTCGATATTGCATATCTCTCGGAAGCACCGCTTCCAGCCCTGAGAAGATCAAACGATCCACCGCTCCAATCACCTTGACGTCCTGGCGTAGGTCAGTCCCTTATAAATAGGGCCCTGCACCACAGCTCTTCTTTCGAACTCAGCTTGCCTAAGAGAAGCTTCGATTCCGTTACTAGGATGTCTTCAAGCAAGATCCTCGTGCCTGAGAACTTGCCACCCTCCGGCAGCGGGGTATTGAACGCCGCTTGGGGTGGTGCCCATGGTGGAGTCGCTCATGGTGTGCCACCCTCCGCCCACGCTGCTGCTTCGCCTGGTTCGTCGGAGATGTCAGGCTCCGGATCAGGACCAGGGACCGATTACGATGAAGGGAATTTGCTGAAGGCCTGCGACGGGGATGCCCAGTCCTTCCACTCCCAGGACGGGGGGCAACGCGAGCGCTATTCCCTGGAGAAACTCGCATCTGACCGCATCGGCTGTGGTCAGGATGCAAATGGCGATGCGGTCCAGCCCGCCTCGGAGCGGGACAAGTAGTAAATAAGTAGTGATTCATCTTTATTTATATAGCGCCTTTTCACTGCAGATCTGAGTCTCAAAGCGGTTTACAATTGTTAATTTTGGGCATTTGTCTCTCACTCCACACAGAGATGGGAGTGGGGGCGCCAGTACAGGAGGCGCATGCCAGACCTATTGGACATATTTTTAGTGGTAGGGGAAACCGGAGTACCCGGAGGAAACTTACGAAGACACGGGGAGAACATGCAAACTGCACTCAGAAAGGCCCTGGTCCGACTGGGATTTGAACCCAGGACCTTTTTACTGAGAGGCGAGAGTGCTATCCACTCAGCCACCGTGCAAGCTGACTATCTCCATGCTGGACAGGTGTTACGCTAAAGCATCACAGGTTGCTGCTTTTGCTAACAACATGACTCTCCTCGCTGCATCCCTTGACACTCATCTGGGGTCAGGATGAGCTCTCCAGGAGAGATTGAGGAGGCTGAGGATACTATGGCCACCCTCCTCCGCATGGCCCAGGGCTTAGCGGTGGACGGTGGTAGATCCATGTGTGCGGCCCAGGTCGCCTGCCGCCATCTCTGGTTGGACCTGTAACCTCTCAGATACGCTCATATGCGGCGCCTTCTGAATCTGCCGCCGTCTTCCTCTTCCTTGTTTGGACCCGACATCCAGACCCTTGTGGAGCATATGGAGACAGCGTCCAAGACCTCCACTCAGTTGGTACAGGATCTCCGTCCCCCGGGGCCCCTCGCCCCACGGCACGGTGTACAGGTTATGCGGAGCGGGGCTCCCGGGACAGCCCTGCCACCGCGCACCGTTCAGAGCCCGGGGGCTCCCTAGGTCCAGTGCATTGGAGACAGCGGTCTCGTGACCAGCGGAGGAGAAGCGGCAGCCACCCCGGCTCTGCAGCTACAGGGAGGGGAGGGAAATGTCTTAATAAAGGCCACCACCAGGCCCGTTACTCCCACAAAGAGTACACTTCTTTCCCCTTTTCCTCTCCCTCAGTGTTTGGCCAATGCTGCTCCTCTGCCAGGCGCCTGGAGCCTCTCTCAGCGCGCGCTGGAGTCATGCTCCAGGACCGCTGTGCGCTCCTCGTGGCTTCGCCTCTCTTGGACAGAGAGTGCATGGTTGCGCGCTCCCCTCCTACGCTCTCTGTGCGCTACGGGCACTTCCCTTGGCTGCTGACCCTCGCGCCATGGAGGTAACCGGGGGACGGGGTGCTTGCAAACCACCCCCAGACCAACGCGCGCGGGAGGCTTGCCCCAATCCTGGTACAAGCCAGCTGCAGCACGCCATAGACATGCACCAGCCCGCCACAGTCCCACTAGGCGCTCCTCTCCCTGTGCCGCGATGAGCGGTCACACAGGGCAGCAGTCTTTCCAGAGCAATGAGTTGGGCTGCTCGGCCCCCCTCTCAGTCCCCAGTGTTGGGGAGCGGGGGCTCGGCTCCACGTAAGCGCAGCGCGGCTGCCCTAACGCTGCCACCCGGTAAAAGGCCCAGGGCTGCAGCCAGGACTCAGCTCTTTTTCCAGCGGCCCCCCACTATCCAATGCCTCCCCAGGAGGGTTGTCTGTGGACAGGCCTGGCCTTCCTCCATCCTCACATCCCGTCGTGCTTCCCTTGACCCATTTTTTCCCTGTATGGGAACAGTTGGGGCTCCTGGGAACACCGTGGTTACGCAGAGTGCTGAGTTGGGGCTACGCTCTCCAGTTCTCCCTGTGGTCCCCTCCTTTTTGCGGCATTCTCCAGTCGAGGCTGCGCAGCCCGGAGGACGCTGCGGTGCTTCACAAAGAGGTTGACACACTTCTGCAGCGCGGGGCGGTAGTGGAGGTAGACCCGCTCAGGGCAGGGACAGTGTTTAACTCTCCATACTCCCCAAAAAGAGCGGGGGGGGTACGGGCCATCCTGGACCTGCGGGTCCTCAATGGCTGCATGCTCACAGTCAGACAGCTACTGTTGAGCGTCAGGCCCGGGGACTGGATGACCTCCGTGGACCTCAACGACGAGCATTTCCACATACCCATTGTTCCGGGGAACAGGAAGTTCCTCCGGTTTTCTGTGGGGGAGGGTGCTTCGAGTATTGCCGTCTCCCGCTCGGCTACTCCCTAGCCCCCCGCACGTTCTCCAAGCGGCGCCAGAACCCCTTTGGTGTCAGGGCCTCAGGATACTGATGTATATCGACGACTGGCTGATCCTGGCCTCCTCTTGGGTGGAGGCGCATGCTCACACGTCCAGAATGTTGAACCAATTTGCCCACCTAGGGTTTGTGATCAATATGGACGAAAGCTCCCTGTGCCCGGCCCAGGAGATCTCATATCTGGGACTGGTCTTTGATTCCAGGAGCATGACGGCTTCACTTTCTCCGGAGAGACAGGTTCAGAACCTGGGCCGGATCGTTTTGGGCAAACCTCAGGTCCAACCGTGGCAGATTGGGTCACTCTTGGACATGATGGCAGCGGCCCACCCAGTGGTAAGACTGGGGTTGCTGCACATGCGATACCTTCCCGAGGTGGTTTTCACACCTCAGGGGCTTATCACGGAGGGCGCGACTGTCGGCGAGGGCTCGGAACAACGTCGCCTTCTGGCTGTCCCCGGTCGTGGCAGAGGTCTGGCTCCAGTTTGGGACACCGGTGGCCGACCTGTTCGCGAGTGTAGAGAACGCACAGTGCCTGCTCTGTTTCTCGCTCAGGTCCAGCAACTGGTCCCATTTCGGGGTGGACGCCATGGCGCACCGGCCGTGGCCCGACGGTCTCCTCTACGCCTTCCCGCCTCTCCGGCTCCTGGCAGCCCTGGTTTACAGGGTGAGGATGGAGGTGGAAGGGACCTCCATCCGGGTGGTGCCGTCGGACAGCCCGGGAGCTAGGTGGTATCCGGACCTGGTGGGCATGGCGCTCGGTCCGCCTAGGCCAGTTCCGGCCCGTCCTGGTGCTCTGAGACAAGCAGGGAGAGCCCTTTACTCATGCCCTGTCCTGGGACGCAGGCTCATGGTTTGGAGGCTAAAAGGGGGAAACTGTTGAGCCTTGGTCTCCCTCCCTCGGTGGTCACTACTATTCAGGGTGGGCGGGCTACATCCACCACCAAAGTGTATGACGTTCGCTGGAAACTTTTTGCCTCTTGGTGCATGGACAGGGGCTTGGACCCCACACCATGTTCCATCCAGGAGGTCTTGGCCTTTCTTCAGTCCTTCCTGGAGAGGGGCAGGGCGGCCGCCACTCTTGGTGTATTTGCGGCGGCCATTACCACTGGGCACGTGGGGACTCCTCGGTGGGGACCGGTCTGCAGGTGGAGAATTGTGTGGAGAGGTGTGAGCGCTCTTGGGAGAGGTGGCCTGGACACCTCTGCAGTGAGGATGGGTTTGACCGGGAGTTTTTGGCGCTCTTGGGAGAGGCTGCCTGCCCAGGTTGGTTCTAAATCATCTTTCCTGCCTTGCAGGTTGGGGAATGCGCAGGCACTCTTGGGAGTGGTGGCCCTGCATCCCTTTCTCTATGGCTCGTAGGACCTCCGTCTCTACCGCTTGGTTGCGGTATGAGCACGTTTGTCCCGGGTTTGCTCCAATCACCGGAGTTCATGCCTGCTGGGAGTAGATTGGTCTGGGCTTCGCTTTGTTATGCAATTGAGAAGCCTAAAGAGCTGAAGCAACATATGAAATAGAAACCCCAGTTACCTAATGTAACTAAGGATCTATGAATATGTTGCGAAGCCCTTTAGCTTCGAGCCCAGCAGGCCTGCCCTTTCTTATTCGGCTGAGTTCGAAAGGAGAAGAGCTGTGGTGCAGGGCCCTATTTATAGGAGACTGACCTACGCCAGGACGTCAAAGTTATTGGAGCGGTGGATCGTTTGATCTTCTCAGGGCGGGAAGCATTGCTTCCAAGAGATAAGCAATAGCGAAGCCTAAAGGGCTGAAGCAACATATTCATAGAACCTTAGATACATTAGGTAACTGGAGTTTATACAATCTTACTCTCGGTGGAGGTCATAGATCTGCTGGATGTTCCCAAAGACAATCTTGTCCTTTCCCCTCATGTCCTCAGGAATTCCCCGCACCTCCAGCCGCGACATGAAGCCCTGCACCAATCACAGGCCTCATTGAACACACTGACCAATTACACACAGTACAGATGTTCCACTCACCTCTACAATGACAGCAAGATCTTTGACGTAGTCCTTCTCTGATTGGACCATTTCGTTGACCACAAACCTAAAGTCACAGAGCGTGTGAACACAGAGTATATGACATCATCTTGTGACATCATCATCAGTGGGTTCTTACATGCGTCCTCTCAGCGCTTTGTTCCTCTGCTCTGAGTCCGACTCATTAGAACCCTGGTCCGAGTCCGGGGCCTAGAACACAAGAACTTAGTGTTACAGATCCAAGTCAGAGTATCCAGTCTGTCTAGGCCAGTGGTTCTCAAACTTTTTACACCAAATACTACCTCAGAAAATACTTGCCTCTCCAAGTACCACCTCAAATGAACAACACTACACGGTAGCGGAGTAAGTCTAAGTATTCATCAAAAACAAGTCAGAGGTTTCATTACTAAAGAAGTATATTTAATATTGTCAGGCATTGTAACATTTTACACAGTTTCAACTAGGGGTGGGAACCTAAGGGTACCTCATGATACATACGATACAAAGCTCACGATAACGATATTATCACAATAACAATATCATGATATGATGATTATCAATATATTGGTCAGAAATATACATAAATTGGCATAAATAAAAGAAAAAATACACTTTATTTCATGATAAATGGAATGGAGATGCGTAATGTAGCCATACATTAAGTATTGATACCAATTTAAAAAAATAATTTGTAACAAAAAAAAAAAACAAAAAAAATTCTTTCTCAAAATCGATATTGATACTTGGCAAATGCATATCGATAATCAAATCGCGGGAGAAAGTATCGCGCCCCTAGTTTCAACAGTAAGACTTAAATATACAGTAGGGGGAAAACAAAACAAAAAAACTATACTTAAATAATGATACAATTAAAATGTTAAATTCATTACGAACTGCAAAGCCTTGACTCACTGTGAGTGATATTCTGGAGTGGGATCTTTATCCACAGAAGGTTTGGACACACACTTTAGTTTAAAGGCTTGGTCTGCTGCCCTCTTACATCTGTCGTTTACTCACAGAGACATGTTCTTATGGTTTGCATCAGATTCTCTTTTGTTGCTCTCTGTTCCTTTTGCACAGAACTGAAAAAAGCTTTTGTTTATGCTGCTCCTTCTACATGGAACGTGTTGCAAAAGGACTGGAAATTCTTTGAACTCATTTCATTGAATGCTTTTAGATCCAGACTGAGACATCCTCATTGAAATGTAACTTTTTATAATTCGTAATTATATGAACTTGTATGTGACTGTTTTATAATCTGTAATTGTATGTAATTTTTGTCCAGGACTCCCTTGAAAAAGATGCTTAATCTCAATGGGACTTTCCTGGTAATTTTTTTTTATTAATTATTATTATTTTTAAAATTTATTTCAGTGATTTATTGGCGTACCACTAGCTACATACCCAGGCTTGAACAAACTTGTGACCTGCAGCTCCCACCTCTCCCACAGTGTACGGCGTGAGTGGTCCTCCAGGGGGCGCAGTGGGATCTCCAGGACCTAAGCGAAGCGGCTCGGGCACCAGGAACACTGTCAAGGTGAGAAGACCTTCCCAGCTCCAGGCATGACTCTTTGAGAACCACTGGTCTAGGCTCATTCTTTCTGACCTCTGTGCTGGGGTCTAAACCCTATACATCTGTGTTGGGGTCAAACCCCTGTACCTCTGTATTGGGGTCCTTGATGATTCTCATGGGCGGGGGCAGCAGGGTGGATCCGTCCTCTTCAGGCTCCTCCTCTCCTCCGCTCTGCACTGAGTCGTCTTTGCGAGGTTTCTATGGAACATGTTTCATTCAGATAAATGTAGAATCATCATGTATTTCTCTGAAGTGCCCCCTGGTGTGCGCCCTGGTCTTACCGGCTGAGCGTTGGCGTTGAGGGGCGGGGCTTCAGCTCGATTGTCCCGCCTCCTCATTCTGATTGGAGGTTTCTTCTGTCCATCAGCTTTGCCCTGACTCAGGCGGCGTACAGGACTAGTGAGCCAACGCTGCACAAACACAAACAGCAGTTTGGGAAACAATTACAAATGAGATCAAGCAAACTTTAAAAATGTAAATAATAACAATAAATACATTTGTTCTGACTGTTGGGACTTAAGAAAACCCCTCAAAAAAACCCTCAGAAAGTTGACTTTTTGTGCTAGACAGTAAATGCTGGACAAGCATAGTCTGTATGTGAGGAATGGACGGACAGCTTTGTTTCTCTGGATCTCAGGGATGTCAAGACGGCCGACTACCAGCTGTGTTTGTGTAGCGTCTGTGTCTGTCATGCTACACAGATGCTACACAAGCTAATGCATTTCTTCCGTTTCTTTTTAGGCATTATTATATCAATATTATATTTGATCAAAATAGAGACTCCATTAGTTCTCCACTTGATATGAGTAGTTACCAAATATCAAAAATTTGCCTTTTGACTCTAGTCAATATGGTTCTTAATAAAGATATTTACTTCCCGTCCCTCGGAGGCGCTAATGTCAGCTGCAACCCACCAATACAGTCTATGTTATGCATATTCTATGCATAGTCCATCTATATACAGTCTGTGGTCACCAGGCAGATTGTAAGCCCAGTCGTTCTGACAAAGGTTTTTTGCTCGGGCGTTTGCTTATAGTCCTGCCTGGAGCTGGAGAGCAAAGGTCTTCTCACCTTGAGCGTGTTCCCGGTGCCTGAGCCGCTGCGTTTAGGTCCTGGAGATCCCACTGCGCCCCCTGGTGGACCACTCACGCCGTACACCGTGGGAGAGGTGGGAGCTGCAGGTCACAAGTTTGTCAAAGCCTGGGTACGTAACTTTAAGGCTTAAGTGCCATCCATCCATCCATTCATTTTCTTCTGCTTTATCCGTTGCCGGGTCGCGGGGGCAGCAGTCTAAGCAGAGACGCCCAGACTTCCCTATCCACACACACCTCCTCCAGCTCGTCCGGGGGGACCCCAAGGCGTTCCCAGGCCAGCTGAGAGACATAGTCTCTCCAGCGTGTCCTGGGTCTTCCCCGGGGCCTCCTCCCGGTGGGACGTGCCCGGAACACCTCCCCAGGAAGGCGTCCAGGAGGCATCCTGAACAGATGCCCGAGCCACCTCAACTGGTTCCTCTCGACGTGGAGAAGCAGCGGCTCTACTCCGAGCTCCTCCCGTGTGACCGAGCTCCTCACCCTATCTCTAAGGGAGCGCCCAGCCACTCTGCGGAGGAAGCTCATTTCGACCGCTTGTATCCGCGATCTCGTTCTTTCGGTCATTACCCAAAGCTCATGACCATAGGTGAGGGAGGGAACAAAGATTGACCGGTAAATCGAGAGCTTCGCCTTTCGGCTCAGCTCCCTGTTTACCACAACGGTCCGATACAGCGACCGCATCACTGCGCACGCTGCACCGATCCGCCTGTCAATCTCACGCTCCATCCTCCCCTCACTCGTGAACAAGACCCCGAGATACTTGAACTCCTCCACTTGAGGAAGGACCTCTCCACCCGCCTGAAGAGGGCAAGGCACCTTTTTCCGGTCGAGCACCATGGCCTCGGATTTGGAGGTGCTGATTCTCATCCCAGCCGCTTCGCACTCGGCTGCAAACCGTCCCAGTGCATGCTGCAGGTCCTGGTTCGTTGGAGCCAGCAGGACGACATCATCCGCACAAAGTAGAGATGAAATCCTGTGGTTCCCCGAACCGGACCCCCTCCGGCCCCTGGCTGCGCCTAGAAATTCTGTCCATAAATACAGTGAACAGAACCGGTGACAAAGGGCAGCCTTGGCGGAGGCCAACATGCACCGGGAACAGGTCTGACTTACTGCCGGCAATGCGAACACAGCTCTGACTCCGGTCATACAGGGACCGGACGGCCCTCAGCAGAGGACCCCGGACCCCGTACTCCCGGAGGACCCCCCAAAGGACACCCCGGGGAACACGGTCGAACGCCTTCTCCAAATCCACAAAGCACATGTGGACAGGTTGGGCGAACTCCCATGAACCCTCGAGTATCCGATGGAGAGTATAGAGCTGGTCCAGTGTTCCGCGACCGGGACGAAAACCACACTGCTCCTCCTGAATCCGAGATTTGACCATCGGACGTAGCCTCCTCTCCAGTACCTTGGAGTAGACCTTACCGGGGAGGCTGAGGAGTGTGATCCCACAATAATTGGAACACACCCTCCGGTCCCCCTTCTTGTAGAGAGGGACCACCACCCCGGTCTGCCACTCCATTGGTACCGCCCCCGATCGCCACGCGATGCTGCAGAGACGTGTCAGCCAAGACAGTCCTACAACATCCAGAGACTTTAGATAGTCAGGACGGATCTCATCCACTCCCGGCGCCTTGCCACCATGGAGGCTGCCAACCACCTTGGTGACCTCGGCCAGGGAGATGTAAGTATCCGCCCCAACATCCTCAGCCTCTGCCTCCTGGACGGAGGACGTGACGGGGGGATTGAGGAGAACCTCGAAGTATTCCTTCCACCGCCCGACAATATCCCCAGTCGAGGTCAGCAGCCCTCCACCCGCACCATACACGGTGTTGGCAAAGAACTGCTTCCCCCTCCTGAGGCGCCGGACGGTTTGCCAGAACCTCTTTGAGGCCGACCGATAGTCATGCTCCATGGACTCTCCGAACTCCTCCCAGACCCGGGTTTTTGCCTCTGCAACAGCCCGGGCCGCGGCACGTTTGGCCTGCCGGTACTGGACAGCTGCCTCAGGAGTCCCACGAACCATCATTGCTCGATAGGACTCCTTCAGCCTGACGGCATTCCTTACTGCCGGTGTCCACCACCGGGTTCGGGGATTGCCGCCGGGACCAGCACCAGATCCCTTGCGACCACAGCTACGAGCCGCCGCATTGGCGATAGAGGAAGAGAACATGGTCCACTCGGACTCGATGTCCCCCTCCTCTGCCGGGACCTGGGAGAAGCTCTCCCGGAGGTGTGAGTTGAAAGTCCGTCTGACAGGGGGCTCAGCAAGACGTTCCCAGCAGACCCTCACTATACGCTTGGGCCTGCCAGGTCTGTCCGGCCTCCTGCCCTGCCAGCGGATCCAACTCACGACCAGGTGATGATCGGTTGACAGCTCCGCCCCTCTCTTCACCCGAGTGTCCGAGACACGCGGTCGAAGGTCAGATGATATGACAACAAAGTCGATCATCGACCTCCGGCCTAGGGTGTCCTGGTGCCACGTGCACTGATGGACACCCTTGTGCTCGAACATGGTGTTCGTGATGGACAAACTGACTGGCACAGAAGTCCAACAACTGAACACCGCTCGGGTTCAGATCAGGGGGGCCGTTCTTCCCGATCACCCCTCTCCAAGTGTCACTGGCATTTCCCACATGGGCGTTGAAGTCCCCCAGGAGAATAACGGAGTCCCCGGGCGGTGCACTGTCCAGTACCCCTCCCAAGGACTCCAAGAAGGCCGGGTACTCTGCACTACCGTTAGGCCCGTAGGCCGTCACAACAGTGAGAGACTTGTCCCCCACCCGGAGGCGGAGGGACGCGACCCTCTCATTCACCGGGGAGAACTCCAACACGTGGCGGCTGAGATGGGGGGCAATGAGTATGGCCACCCCAGCTCGCCGCCTCTCCCCGCGGGAAACACCAGAAAAGTGGAGCGTCCAACCCCTCTCAAGGAGTTGGGTTCCAGAGCCCAAGCTGTGTGTGGAGGTGAGGCCGACTATCTCTAGTCGGTATCGCTCAACCTCCCCCACAAGCTCGGGCTCCTTCCCCCCCAGTGAGGTGACGTTCCACGTCCCAAGAGCCAGATGTTGGGTGTGTGGACTGGGTCGTCGAGGTCTCCGCCTTCGACTGCTGCCCAGTCCTCTTTGCACCTCGCCACCACGGACCCCTCTGCAGGTGGTGGGCCCACAGGAGGGACTGCCCACGTCATCCCTTCGGGCTGAGCCCGGCCGGGCCCCGTGGGCTAAGGCCCGGCCACCAGGCGCTCGCTTGCGAGCCCCGACCCCAGGCCTGGCTCCAGGGTGGGGCCCCGGCTGCGCCATGCCGGGCGACGTCACGGTTCTCATTGTCGTGCTGTCCATGGTTGGCTTCGGACTGCGCTTCGTCTGACTCGTCACTTGAGACCTGTCTGCCATGGGAGGCCCTACCAGGGGCATGAAGCCCCAGACAGCATAGCTCCCAGGATCATCCGAGTGCTCAAACTCCCCCACCACGTTAAGGTGGCAGTCCAAGGGGGGAAGGCTTAAGTGGGTTGAATTAATGGGGATGAAAGGGTTTGGACTCACTGTGAGGACTGTGTGGCGATAACCCGGATCCGTCCGAGCTGAAGACAGAGTCTGTGAAGGAGGAGGAGCGTGAGATAAACGGCCTCTCTGCAGTAATAAGCAAGAGAAGGACAGACAGGACCTCTGGAGTTGCTGGTTCCCTATGTGTGGTCTCACCTCTCGAGTTGCTGGTTGAATTGCTGTGTGTTGCCATGGCTCCGTTGCTGTTGCAGGACTGTGTGTTGTTCCCTGTGTGGACACCAGGTGGCGCTGTGCTGTGAGGAGACGTGGAGCAGGATGAAGTGGGTGGGACCAGGCTCTCCATGTCTGGAGCACTGTGTGAGTGTGACAGGCAGAGGGCGCTCATGGGCACCAGACCCTCCTACAAACACATGAGCAACGCACTTTAGAAACCACACATCTGATCTGGGGCCAGTCACAAGGATGGCTGCAGTAGTACAGTAGTAGTCCTGGTACCTGAGGACTCTGCTGGTCTGAGGTCCGGATCAGGACCCAGCCAGGTCTCTCTGCAGACCGCTCCAACAGCTCCACCGTCTGACCACACTTCACACTAAGCTCTCCGGATACAGCGGTTGTGAAGTCCAGGAGCACTGCAACCTGCTCTGAGCCTCCAGACAACTGCAGAACAAGTACACAAGTATAAGTACTCAGTATCTATAGCCTCAGTCCTGGATCTACAGCCTCAGTCCTGGATCTACAGCCTCAGTCCTCACAACAACCGCTGCAGATTTTGGGTCGCACAAGATTAATTTGAATTGAAGTACAGCCGAACTACAAGAACGGGCAAACGTATAACACCTATGTTGTAACCTCACAGCTGTCTCTACATTCTCTCTGAACATGTGTGTGTGTGTGTGTGTGTGTGTGTGTGTGTGTGCGTTCTGTCTGTGTGTCCGTTGGGACAGAGGGTGTGTCTCTTCAGATGTGGACCAGCTGTTTTCACTGAACTGAGCTGTCACCTAAAGCAGGCCGTCTCCGTCTTAGTAGAAATCATGTTTTGTGTCAGAGATCCCTGAAAGTCACAATCAGCCTCTTTGGGCCGAGAGCTGATTGCTGAGTGAGGGGGTCCCCTCCTTGATCTAAAGATTTAACAGAGACAGAAATAAATGCAACTAGTGACAGAAGCAACTGTTTTAGAGCTGGAACTAGACACATGTGTTCAATACAGAGTTCTTTTGGTCTGAGAGTTACAGAACCTCTTTAAAGCCACGTACCCCATCTTTAAAGTCTACGTGACTTTAAAGCCCATTTTAAAACATTCTAGATATTCTCAAAAGCATGAAAGTGTAATAAATAAAATAAAAGAATGTTTACCTTCTTGAGCCGAGAGACGACACTCTGAACTCTGAACGAGTTTGAAGAAGTTTATGAAGCAAAAGGAAAGTCCCAGAGATGAGGTCATGAGAGGCACACCCCACAACTGTGTGAGTATTACTGTGACTATAACTGAAAGTACTACTGCAGTATTCTGGTCCTCACACCCCACAACTGTGTGTGTGCAGTTCTGGGTATTACTAATAATACTACTGGAATACTAGTAATCAAAATGTCCCCCCTGTGGGATGAATAAAGGTCCACACATCCTACTGCAGTAGTGGCTCTCACACGACAGTAGTGCAGTATTGCTGTAGCTCAGACGTACTGTCATATTATAGTACTGCGACACATGGATAGAAACATAAGATTTTATTCATTTTGAAACTGTTGTAACTTTAAAGCTGGTGTATGTGACACTAAAGCTAGAGCATGTAAATTTAGACAAAGAAAGGACCACCCTCAGTTAGCAAATGACATCCCAAAGAGTCAAAAAAATGACTCACAGGGCACTTTCTTACACATCTGAAATTCAGACCTTGTCACTGTCCGCTGTATTCTGGGACGTCCTGGAGGCAATGGAGACTGTGTCAGGCTGAGAGCTTGCATCTCCGAGAGAGTCTGCGTCCTCCGAGGTCTCTCTGTGAGAAACAGGAATAAGTGAGGCTTAAACAATTTAAAGCAGATCTAATTTTGTCTAAAAGAGTACTAAAGTAGGGTCTTGTGAAGGAGGCATGGATGAATTATATTATCTGGAGGGTGTTGCTGCTGAAGACGGGCCCCACCTGGTGGTGGACAGCAGTACTGCATACAAAACTCATCACCATGCCAGTGGACACATGTCCCAAAGACACAAACAGCTCGTCCTCAACGTTATTGAACCTACAGCTTCAGTAGATTTGAGTGTCCCCTCATCCTACAGTATATTCTTGTGATTGTTTTCTATAGATCTACAGTTTTCATAAAGCTCAAATCACCACATGTAGTGGAGCGGGCGAGACCTCTGGTGGTACCTGCGGTTGATGCTCCTTTGCCGTCCCAGTGTGGGGTTGGGAGTCTTGGGCAGAGGAATGGGCTCCCTCAGGGCTCCTCTCAGGTGACCTCTGCGCTCCTGGATCACCTGCCGGATACTGCGCACCCACTCCTGCTTCAGCTCCAAAGACGCAGCCTGGAGGGAGAAACCAGGTCTGAATCAGGTCCAAACCAAATCTGAATCAGGTCTGGACCAGGTCTGAACAAGGTCTGAACCAGGTCTGCGCAGGTTTGAACCAGGACTGACCTTGAGGACTGTCTTGTTGTCTGAAGTTGGAGTTCTTCCCACCCACAGCGCAAATTTACATGGGTCTCCTTCTATGTGTTCTGTCACTCCCAACTCAGAGGTCTGCACCAGGAACACACATACAGTCACACAGAGCCACACACAGACACAAACACAATAAACACAACATATGAAGATTTAGTAGTAGCAGATGTAGGAGCAACATGTGTAATGGTATTTGCTATTATAGTATTATCTGTAGTATCTGCAGTTGCATCATGAGAATCCACAGTAGTAGCTTTAGTATTTGCAATAGTATCTGCAGTAACTGCAGTATTTGCAGTAGAATCTGCAGTAGTATCTGCAATAGTATCTGCAGTAGTACCTACAGTAGTGTCTGCAGTAGTTAATGCAGTAGTATCTGCAGTAGTATGCAAAGTATCTTCAGTAGTATATGCAATATCTGTAGAAGTACAATACAATACAATACAATACAACTTATTCTTATTTAGCCCTAAATCACAGCAGCAGTCATCTCAGAGGACCTAAGAAAAACCATTGAAATCACCAACACAGATCAGAGAATCAATAGTTAAGACACAAAAAATATAGGACACACTGTATTGGACCATATGGAGAGACCAATGTCCTTGAATGTTGATTAATGTCCATACATGTTGTAGAAAGTGTCCTGGATCATCACCACGGTATCATTACTGTGGATCATAACTACAGTATATGCAGTACTCACCCGCAGCCGGCTCTTGTAGAGGTACTTGGTTCGTCCGGACGTGTCTTTCGTCTCTTTGCTGAAGATCAGCGACAGCTCAAAGAGAAACAGGTGACGGTCTCGACCTTTACGGATCAAAGACTTTGGTTCCCAGACCAAGAAGGAGTCCTGCAGAAGAAGCTCTCCCTGCACCTCCAGACCCTCCTCTAGACCTGAGGAGAGAGGACAGAGACCTAAGACTAGACAGAGAACAGACCAGACCCTCTTCTAGACCTGAGGAGAGAGGACAGAGACAGGTGCCTCTCCTCTGGTCTCCTGACTCATGGTCAACCTTGTCTGACCTGAGCAGTATCCAGCAGGTGTCATGGTCATGGAAGGCTCACCTCAACACATTCACCCATGCTTGTTGGGTGATGGGGAGTTGTAGTAGTGGTAGCAGTAGTAGATTAAGAAATTCTTTATTCGTCCCACAGCGGGGAAATTACAGTGACGCGTCACAAGTTACAGAACAGTAGGAATGAGGAGTACACAGAACAAGATAACACAATACAATAACTATAATTATTCAAATAAAACTAAAACTCTTACTATAGCATCAAAGAAACAAGCAAAAAAATTTCATCTTGAACATAATAATAATAAAGACATAGAAAATTTACATTTGGCAAAATAAGAGGCAAGTGTAACACTGTAGTGTTGTAGAATGCAGGTGAGCTTCAATAACAAAGCCAGACAGTCAGTGTGGGTCCAACAACCCTATGGCAGCTTTTATTTACATTACATAAGTATATTAAAAACAGCAAATGGGACTATTGAACTAAAACAGTGAAACTTGAAGCTGGGGTGAGGGGCAGTCTATATGAAAAGCAAACACAAAAGTAAACAGAAATCCATCCCCACAACAGAAATCACCATAAACATACATGTGCCACCTACACCAAAACTACAAACAAAGCCACCACTTAAAGTGAACCCTGTCACCCCAGCTATCAACAAAGTAACTCTACACAAACTAAAATAAGCAAAACCTAAATATAAAGTAAACGGCAACCAGCACTGGGCCTATGAATAAAACCCAGTGCAATTAATAAAATGAATTATAAAATACAAACAAGATTTATAAAAGCATACCTCAACAAGACAGGACTGTTGTAACCCTTAAAAGACATTAACAAAGTATTTTTAAAATATACAATCAATACAAATATAAAAACACTCTAAACACTTTCAGCTCACCAGAGTCTGATTGTGAACAGGCTGGCTCAGGAAGAGGAAGTGAGCCCTGGTTGCCTGTCTTTTAAAGCCTTGGTCATGTGACCAGGCCACACCCGTGACCACACCTACACCTGCCACACAAGTATAAAGCACTGTGTGTTGTAGTGCAAGCAAAGTGTAGTTGGATGTTTACATCTGTACATTAGCAGCAGTATGTTTACATCTGTACATTAGCAGCTGTATGTTTACATCTGTACATTAGCAGCTGTATGTTTACATCTGTACATTAGCAGCAGTATGTTTACATCTGTACATTAGCAGCATGCGGCTCTGAGACCCAGGGACTCAGTAAAGTGACAGTGACATGTGGTTTCTGCACATTCTAATATTAGTTAAGGATAGTGCACTGAAGCATTACATGTAAGATCAGGTTGGAAGTGTTCGTTTGTCCTCATTGTTTGTTGTACAGTCTGACAGCAGCAGGAAGGAAAGACCTGCGGAACCTCTCCTTCACACAGCGAGGGTGAAGGAGAGGTCACTGAAGCTGCTCTCCAGAGCAGAGTGAGTGTCCTGCAGGGGGTGACAGTCATGGTCCAGCATAGATGTTAGTTTGTCCAGGACCCTCCTGTCCCCCACCTGCTGCACTGTGTTCAGGGAACAGTCCAGGACTGAACTGGACTTCCTGATGACCTTGTCCAGCTTCTTCCTGTCCCTCTCTGTGATGCTGCTGCTCCAGCAGACCACACCGTACAAGATGGCTGATGCCACCACAGAGTCATAGAAGGTCTTCAGGAGTGGCCCCTGCACTCCAAAAGACCTGAGCCTCCTCAACAGGTAGTCGGCTCTGGCCCTTCTTGAAGAGGGCGTCTGTGTTATGAGTCCAGTCCAGTTTGTGGTTCAGATGAACACCCAGGTATTTGTAAGAGTCCACTCTCTTAATGTCCCTTCCCTGGATGTTCACTGGGGCTGGAGCAGCAGAGTGACGTCTGCGGAATTCCACCACCATCTCCTTGGTCTTCCCTGCGTTGATGAGGAGGTTGTTCCGCTGACACCAGTCCACAAAGTCCTGTATAACTCCTCTGTACTCTGCGTCATTGGAGCTGAGTCCGATGATGACAGAGTCGTCAGAGAACTTCTGTAGGACACAACAGTCCATGTTGTGTCTGAAGTCCGCAGTGTAGAGGGTGAAGAGGAACGGCACGAGGACAGTCCCCTGGGGGGCCCCCACACTGCAGGTCAGGACCTCAGACATCCAGTCCCTGGTTCTCATAAACTGGGGTCTGTCTGTGAGGTAGTCCAGGATCCACTCAGACAGGTCGTAGCCCACTCCAGCTGTCTCCAGCTTGTCCCTCAGGAGCCGCGGCTGGATGGTGTTGAAGACGCTGCAGAAATCGAAAAAGAGTATCCTCACAGCGGAGCTGGGTTTCTCCAGGTGGGACAGGGAGCGGTGGAGGAGGGAGATGATAGCCTCCTCAACTCTGATGATCGGCCGGTAGGCAAACTGCAGCGGGTCCATCGCTGAGGTCAGAGTGTAGTGGAGATGTCCCAGGACCAGTCTCTCCAGTGTCTTCATGCAGTGGGATGTTAGAGCCACCGGCCTGAAGTCGCTGAGGTCTTTGGCCTGTGATGTCTCTAGGACACTGGTACCACACAGGAGGTACCAGTGTCCAGAGCTGTGGTACCTCCTGAGATGGCCTTCAGTTTGTGCCAAACATTTTGATGTTTTGTTTGCTTAACTGCTTTTCCATTTTGCCCCTGTATTGAGCTTTGGCCTCCCTTACTGATATTCTCAGATGTCTTTGTACGTCTCTCAGCTCCTCTTTGTTCCCAGATCGAAGAGCGCACTTCTTTGCCTTCAGCAGTCTTTATGTCGGAATTAATCTGCGGCTTATTGTTGGCGAAACACAAGAGCTTCCGGGGCACCAAAGTGGGCACCGAAGTGTAATAGTAATTGTAATAGTGAACGTGATAGTAGTAGCAGTATTAATGTAGCATACCTTCTAACATGCTGACGTGCATGGCATCGTTGGCTCTCTTGGGAACACTCAGCATCACATCCAGTCCTTCTTTGATTTCTCCTTTACCCTCCTCACAGCACGCCAGCAGCTCCTGTTGATATCACATGGGGCATGTTGTAGTCGTATAGCAGTAGTAGTAGTCGTGGTAGTTCCGCTACAAGTAGGAATATCTGCAGTAGTACACACTTAAAAATAAATTGGGTAATTTTGAACATCGGAGCACAGCATTGTGAAAAGTCGCCTGAATAATAAAAAGCTGAACAACATTGTAGTAATAATAAAACTGTATTGAATTTATTCAAGTACATCAAACAGTCACTGCTTACACAAGTGGAGCATAAATATATATACGTTGTGCCACAATTTTAAACAGGAAAACAGTACAGCAGTGCAAAAATCTTAAAGGATAGATATACTTGAGTGAGGAATGATTGTATTAACAGTTTTTCACATAAACGTAGTTAGTTGTAATGTCTCCAAGTTTGTCCTACATAGAAAAGGCATGGATAAGACAGGCCACATACTCAGTTCCAACTAAATACAATATTGAATGGACTTCATCAATTAAAAAAGCCTTCAAACTCTGTGACGGAGCAGCCTCCGTCAATGCCCAGGGCAGTCTCCCCAGTCCGCGCGCACTCCCCCCCCGCACAGACACACGCATACATACCTAACTCACTTGCCTGTTTGTCGTTCCTGTTCCTTGTCAGTCCGTTCCGTTCCCATCCTCGTTCATTAATTCATCCCAGTTGTCTTGGGTGCACACTAGGCCTCTGGTTAACCATTCCCATCCATAGTTTTGCACTCCATAAAGTTTCCACTCAGTATCCGTCTCCCCACCAAACTCCAACCCGGCAAACCGAGCGCAGTCCGCGCTTCCTCGCACGCAGACGCCTCGCACGTACGTCTGCGAATGACGTCATCGTATTTTTCGTTTTTTTTTGGAAAATGTATTTTATTATTTTTCCTCTGTAGTCTACAGGTGCAGAGGAGAACTCTACGGTAGAAGAGTTGATTGTGGATTTATCCATATTTTAGTTATTAGGAACGTAATCATGGTTTATGTAGAAACTAAAAGTTTATGACTTAATTGACATGTAGGACGAGCCTGAGGGGTTTAAGACTAGGCCAGCCTCTACTGTCAGTGTCAGTGTGAGTCTGAACTGGGACAGAGGAGGTAAGCCAGGAGACCTTCTTGCAATGTAATTTTTTTCTGTAAATACTGTAAATATGTTTATTATAATAATAATAATGGACTCAGACTTAAATTTCAAAAGCCACATAAAATCTGTAACATCAGCAGCTTATTACCACCTAAAAAACATTGCTAAAATTAAAAACATAGTGTCTAAGGCAGACTTGGAGACTCTTATACACGCTTTTGTCTCCAGTCGGTTAGACTATTGCAATGGCTTGTTCACAGGTCTCTCCAAACAGGCTGTAAAACAGCTGCAGTACATTCAAAATGCAGCAGCTCGAGTCCTGACCAGAACTAGGAAGTGCGACCACATTAGTCCAGTTCTCAGGTCTCTGCACTGGCTTCCTGTTCCTCAGAGAATAGACTTCAAAGCAGCTTTACTTGTGTACAAGTCTCTCCATGGTCTCGCGCCAAGGTACATCCACGACATGTTTGTGCCATATGAACCGACCCGGACTCTGAGGAGCACAGGGACTGGACTCCTGTTAGTGCCCAGAGTCGGTACTAGACATGGGCAAACTGCATTTCAGATTCATGCAGCTAGAGTCTGGAACCATCTTCCTGAGGATGTGAGACAGGCGTCTACTCTGGCATCTTTTAAATCTAGGCTCAAAACAATTCTGTTTAGCTGCGCATATACAACTGAATGATTTTATCTTTTCATCTTTGTTTTTATCTTTAATCTTTTTAATGCACTGTGACTATTTATGATTTTAGTCCCATCTGTGATTTTAATGTTTAAAGGTTTTTAATTTTTGTGATTTTATTTTTAATGTTTTTAATATATCTTGTGCTCTTAATGTGTTTGATTTATGCATGATGTGATAGGGGATGTGAAGCGCTTTGCGTTGCCTTGTGTAGGAAAGGCGCTCTACAAATAAACGTTGATTGATTGATTGATTGATTATTAATCACTGGTTTGTTTTTGGTACAGCACTCCTCTTCGATACTTCGATACTTTATACTTCAATACTTTATACTTCAATACTTTATACTTCAATACTTTATTCTTAATTACTTTTATTATTTTTTTGGGAATAAAACTTTAAAAGTACTCTGGCTGCGCCATAATCTTATTTCACATTCAGAACCCCGTCACAAACTCAAACATGAATAAAATGGATGTGTCACTGCAACACATGGACAGACCACATGAAACCTTATATTATATGACTGGTTATTGGTGTACACACTACTCACATACAAAAACACTGGATTGTTTTATGGGGATTCTGTGTGTTTTTTTTAGGCTTTTTCCCTGAATAAGTTTAGTTGAAACTTGTGACAGTAGGACTGCACTTGGATCGGGTCAGAACATCCATGCCTCGTTCTCATTATTGTCAGTGTGAAAAAAGTTACGTATTGTTTACGTGTGAGTCTGTTGTGTACAAACTACACAATGTACCTCCTGTTGTTAACTCTGTCTCTTAGTGCGTGTGGTTTGCGATGTTGACACTTTGCTGCTGTGACGCTGGACTTCTGCATAATTATTTTTCTAAAAGATTGTTGTTCGGGTTGTTCTTTTATATAACTGTGGTCCTCCATGGTTTCTACTTAAAACTATGCTTCAAACTTGTGAAGGCACGGTGAAAGCAACGATATCAGTAGCACTCGAATCCTTTTTGTCCCTTATCCACCTATGTAATGTAAGATGGTGCATAATTGCATATACTGTATACAGAGAGCACTCCTCTCTCATGGACATTTATAAGTTGAATTCTAAGCCTATGAAAACAAGTACAAAAAAACATGGTAGAGGTAAATATTCTTAAAAAGGTCACATTTATTATTAGTTAACATGTTTTTATATGGAGCTAATGTAAAAATTACACAAGGTGGCTAAGCTGTGACAAAGAGACGTTTTTTTCAACTTGGCGCACACGGTAACATTATTTATTTATTTGTGTCTTTTATTTTGCAACCTGTAACAATTTGTGGTTTACTGTTTGGAAATTTACAACAAGCTCTCCTTTATCTTTGTTTTCATGGTGTTCTATATGCCTGTATGAAATTAAATGCGATCATTCGAGGCGTAAAGTTCTTTTTTTTGAAGAATAAACAAAGTTACAAGGCATTCAGGGAAAGGCAAAATAACAGCAACAACAAGATGTGATGCTGCTTCCCGAAGCCTCCTTGAAGGACCTCAGCAGCAAACTGGAGAAGGACGTGACTGTGGAGCGTTTCCGGCCAAATATCGTCACCGGTGACTGTGAGCCATACGATGAGGACTCTTGAGATGAGATGTTTATTTGGTTGGGACAGTACATGTTAATGAACACATAACTCCGGATTGTAGCCTTGGGCTAATTTGCTTCCGTTGTCCCACATTCACACTCACACTCACACTCATTCATCCTGAACTATTGCACATGTTTTTAGTGGTAGGGGAAATCGGAGTACCCGGAGGAAACCTACGCAGACACGGGGAGAACATGTAAACTCCACTCAGAAAGGCCCTGTTCCGACTTCCGATTTGAACCCAGGACCTTCTGGCTGTGAGGAGAGAGTGCTATCCACTCAACCACCATGCCACTCAAGAGACCTAAACCCAAAATGCTTTGACCCAACAGTTGGGTTACTCAAACAACCCAACATTTAGTAGAAGCAGTAGCACTAGTATTACTATAAGTAGTACCAGTGCTAAATGTGTAATGTGGGAGTTGCCATAACGCAGTGGATACATTTATCCGGTTAATGCGGCCTGTGGTTGCACGGACATGCACAGAGATGTTTATAGTTGGGATTCACTCATGGTTCACATCAATTTGATCTCCCATGAGATTTTGCGCTTGGAGTCAAGTTTGCGGCAATAAAATGAACAAAATTGGCAACGGCACACAGACAAGAGGCATTTTACATCCACGTCGTTGTAGAATATTGTTATGTTGGTGGTATAGAAAATAAAGACTTCAGATCTTTTATGGCAGAGCGTGGTATATTATTTCTGTTCTACTTTATTACTCCTAACCTGTTGCTATCCACCCATCTATGTACTAATGGTGCCCTCTGTTGGTGAGGTGACAAACCTGCAGTAACCACATCATATCATGCATACATACAGTAAACACAACACATATTGTGTTGGATCTAGTTTTGTTGTTGACATTTGCACAGTTGACAATTTTGTGGCTGCACTTGTACTTTGTTGTTGTTCATACTCAGGCTGTGTTGTTTTGTTTTCATTCAGCTATGATTTGCACTGATAAGACAATTAATGCATTTTTAGTTATTCAACAACAAATAAAGGTACTTTATTATATTTACATTAATTTGTGTTTCACATGTAACATTTTCATTAAACTCATTAGACCAAATGAATTATAGGCTATTTTTCAAAGAATTCCTGCTAGACTTACTCACTTTTTGATTTTGAAGCAGCAGTTTCCCTGCTCCCCTCCCCGCACACTACCCTCCTCCCGCTCAAGAGCGTGCTCATGGGGTGTTGTTTATGGAACTGAATACGCCTCTTGTTTTGGCCCAAAAACAAATGGAAATGTTCCTCATTTGATTGCATCCCCTAGTGCTAAAGTAGTCTCGTCCGCTTCCCTGGTGCCTCTCTCCCGGTCCTTCTTGTAGGGACTTTCTTTTGGATGGCTGTTTTGCTGGATAAGCAACGAACACACAGGAAGTTTCAGGTTCGCCTCCGCCATAATGCTCGTCTACCTCAGCTGTCTGTGCGAGCCATGGATGTAGTGCGAGCTAACGAGAGACCTGAAGAATTTCTCTAGAAAGAGGTGGCCAGTGGTCTGCTGTGATTGGTCAGAATCTGGCCCCAAAATAAATCATCTTCCGCATTGCGCAAAAACTTGATCTAAAGTAACATTACACTCCAGTACAGGGGTCACCAACGCGGTGCCCGCGGGCACCAGGTCGCCCGCAAGGACCAGATGAGTCGCCCGCTGGCCTGTTCTCAAAATAGCTCAAATGGCAGCACTTACCAGTGCTATTCTTGTTTAAATCATACTTACATGCAACTTACAAATGGCATATAAACTAGAGCCGGGACTTTAACAAGTTAATAAAGATTAATTAATTACACACAAAAAAGCGCGTTAAAAAAATTACGCATTTTAATCGTATGTATTTTTGCACCGCGGAACGTTCCTCACTGAATAAGTTTCAGACGGACCAATTGAACTGACGCACCAACCGGAGCTCCGTGACTTTTCTTGTTCAAAAGTACATTATTACAAGCAGAGACCAACTTTAAATTCGAGTAAATTAGAGGAGCGAGACACAGGTGTGTGAGCTGCTAATGCTGATGTTTACTCCGAATGCACACATCAAAAACGTATTATAAAAGCTTTAGCAAACAGCGCATGCCCAGCTTTAGTGCTCACAGCGTGTGCAGTGGATTTTGGGCTTAAAAAGAGTATGTTGTCGTCAGTGTGAGGAGGAGGAGGAGGAGGAGCATATGTTGTCGTCAGAGTGAGGAGGAGGAGGAGGAGCATATGTTGTCGTCAGTGTGAGGAGGAGGAGGAGGAGCATATGTTGTCGTCAGAGTGAGGAGGAGGAGGAGGAGCATATGTTGTCGTCAGTGTGAGGAGGAGGAGGAGGAGCATATGTTGTCGTCAGAGTGTGGAGGCAATGACAGAAACGTTATTTGATGTTTAGAAGTTATCCCTTAAACTCCATATTAACATGTGTTGCTTAAGCCTCATGTATTCAGTCATTATTCAATGGTAAACTAAAAATCCATATGAAAAAAATTACTTCTCACTGTTCTCAGGTCAAATATTTATATTAAAATGTGATTAATTGCGATTAAATGGGACTGTCTTAGAAGTGATCATTTGTTAAATTTGAAAAATGTGCACTTAGAGAAAATAAAAAAAGTTTTTCCACAAAATAAATATAATTAATTATTAGTAAAAACATAGAATTAAAGGTAAATTGAGCAAAATGGCCATATCTGGCAATTTATTTAAGTGTGTAACAAACTGGTAGCCCTTCGCATTAATCAGTACCCAAGAAGTAGCTCTTGGTTTCAAAAAGGTTGGTGACCTCTGCTCCAGTACATACCAGCACTACTTATTTTTCCAAAAGACTTATATTCCAATGCACTGCATGGATATGAATTGAATTTTTTTACAAATTAATACAAAAATGAAGTGAGGTACTCCAGTTTTAATCTACCACAGCAGGTATTTAAAATAGTCTAAATATTGTGTAAGGATTGATACATTAGCTCAGACACCCTATACATCACGCTTGCTCCCGGGGCTGCCTCTGGCTAAACCGTGCTGTGCTCTTCTCAAGCAGCGGATTACAACCCGGTTACTGGCCGGCCTGCACCCCGGCGCAGCCAGCCACCTATGCGGCTACTGTTCATGGCTTTCCTGCTGGCCTCTCTGCGGCTCCTGTCAAGCCCGGCTCCGTCCATGGTGTTTTGTTACACGTCCTCACAGCTCATCAGACTCAACCACCGTACACCTCCTTCACTGGTCATCAACTCAACTCTGCAAAAACACTCTCTTCTCCGCTGTTGCCCCTACATCCACACAGGTTCACATCGCAATCTTGTGCATAATTTTACTGGCGAAAACAATATTGCCTCCGTCTGGTCCGCCAGCAGATTCATGCGCAGCTCACACCCGCTCGGTTGCAACAACATCCACATACGTCATCTGAGCACTAATCACGTGACCACATCAAACCGCCTGTCTGTCTCCATTACCGCCACACGGACTTCACAACAAAAGCCTCTTAAAACAACACTATTCTTTTTGGACATTTTAAACTGCCTCAACCTCACCCAGCACGTCACTTCACCCACACACAACCATGGACACATCCTGGACCTGGTCTGTTCCACACCCTCCCTTACCATACACAGCACACACAAACAGACACGAACAATTACTTTCCGAAATCTGAAGTCCATTAGTTCCATCTCTCTCTCCTCCTCCATATGCCTCCATGCCTTATCCAGCTCTTCCCTTCATCTGCCTCTGATCTAGTTAATTTTCTACAACCACACACTCTCCTCCTGCCTCAACCGAATAGCCTCCATGAAAACTGCCTCCGTCTCCTTCTCCACCGCCGCTCCTTGGTACACCCCAGATCTCCACAATCTCAGAACCAAAAGAGAAAACTCGAACGGCTCCATACAAAACTCACCGTCTCACCGTCATGCCCAAGCATAAAAACGTGCCACAACCACAAACAACTCTGCTCTCAAAACTGCCTGGTCTATTCCAACTTCTATTCACAACTCATCCACTCAAATTCTTCCAACCCCCGCGCACTATTATCCACTTTTGCAAACCTGACAAAACCCTGGGACAATATAACCTCCACTTTCACTACAGACAAAAAGATATGATAAGACTTCCTTTGCAATAACTTCCTGTCATTCTATCATACCAACATCCATTCCATACACTGTTCACTTGCATCCACTTGCTCCGCTTCTCCTTACTGAACATGAACTCACTGCACTCACAGTCCATAGTCTTCCCTCCTTCTCCCAACTGTCTCCCTCTGATACCATCAAACTCCCATCAGCCCTCCTCAAAACCTGTCAACCAACACTCATACCTCCCATCACCCGCATCATCAGGTTCTGTCCCTTCCCCGCTCAAATTAGCCTCCATCACACCCCTCTTGAAAAAACCTGGCTTCAACCCTGGCAACTTGGACAACTTTCGACCAATCTCCGGTTACTGTCAAAAATCCTGGAACGCGCCGGCATCACCTAACTCCACCTCTCCACTACTCCCATCTCTTCGAAACGTTTCAATCTGGATTCCGTTCACACCACAGCACAGAGACAGCACTTCTTAAAGTTGCAAATGACCTTCTTCTCGCCGCCGAATCTGGTTCCTTATCCACCCTTCTCCTCCTCGACCTCTCCGCTGCATTTGACACTATAGACTATTCCATCCTCCTCCAGCGTCTGCAATCCACTGGCATTTCTGGCACAGCACTCTGGTTCACCTCTTACCTCTCAGATCATCTCCACTTTGTCCCTGTCAACAACTGCAACTCCCAATAACCTTCTTAAACTTAACAGCAACAAAACAGAACTCCTCATCAGCCCCAAATCTCTCCTGCCCTCTGTCCAGAACTTTACCCTCCTCATTGACAGTCACATTGTCACCCCCTCACCCTCTGTGCGCAACCTCGGCACCATAATGCACTGAACTTTGCCCACCTCCCTTACCCAGTCAACAGCCGAAATCCTCATCCACGCATTCATCACCTCCAGTCTCGACTACTGCAAGAGCCTCCTCTCATGTCCAAAAACTGCAATACATCCAGAACTCTGCAGCCCGCCTCCTCGCCCACACCTGGTCCAGAGAACACATCACCCCTGTCCTCCAGCAGCTCCACTGACTCCCCGTTCAATACCGCATCCACTAGAAGCTCCTCCTCCTCACCTACAAGTTCCTCCGTAACCTGGCCCCGGCCTACCTTACAGAGGTCCTACAACAGCACCAACCCACCCGCCGCTTTCGCTCAGCCGATTCCAACCTCCTCACTGCAATCACCCACACTAACCGCCGGACCTTGGGGGACAGAGCCTTTGCCATGGCCGCCCCAACCCTCTGGAACTCACTCCCACTGCCCATTAGAAACTCTGACTCACTACCAAGCTTTAAATCAGTACTCAAAACCCATCTTTTCAAACAAGCTTTTCCGTAAACCCCCTTTTTTCTTTTTTTGCATTTTATTCCCCATGTGAAGCATCTTTGAGTGTCCAAAAAAGCGCTATACAATTTTGATATAGTATTATTATTATTTATTATTATTATTATTAGATGTAGTACTGTTGACAGTTATAGTATGTTATGATCACGCACTCGGGTAGAGGTGTCGGATACAACTTTGAAGGTGGCGGAACATGTTGCGCCTCAAATTAAGCACTGAGTGGTACCTTGAGAAGCAGCTGGTACTTGGTGATCCTCTGGACTGGTTTGATCAGAGCTGAAGAGATGGAGTTGGTTAAACCATGTCTCCTCTGCACCTCCTGCAAATACACATATGAGATAAAAACCAGGTCTGGACCAGGTTTGAACTGAAGTGTGAACCAGTGGGGGCGGGTCCTGGCAGCAAGTAGTAGAAATTGTAGTGGAAGTAATAATAGTTGTACTTATAGTTTTAGCAGCAGTAGTAGTAGTGCTTGGAAAAATGTTAGTATTTGTTTTAGTATGGATAGTTTTACTGCCATACAATTGATGTATCTATTTTAGATTTTTTGTGAATTTATTTTATTTATTTATTGTGAAAATCTTTGGGTAGGAACCTTTGTTTTGTTAACTGTTTCTGTGACACTAATTGTGAAGTCTATGGTGAAAGATCCCTATTAAGAGCCCATTTGATTTACATATGTTTTGAGCAATGAGAATAACTCTACCTCTGAAGTATGGGTCAGCCAGCAAGGAATGTGTAATATGTGTGTGTAGTCTGTTTAAGTGCCTTATTTTAGTGTTTTGTGTTCCTAATTGTATTTTATGTTGCTTATTTTTAGTTTGGCGTCGTGTGCTACATCTTTTATTTTTCACTTGAGATATTGCGTACAAGCAATAATAAAGAAGAGAGCCATCAGTAAAAGAACTCTTATGTGGCTATATACAGAGGTGGTGTGATAGAAAGTATTGTTAGAACGTTTAGTCGTAGTAGTACTTGTAGTATTGGTAGTACTTGTTGTAGTATTGATAGTAGTAGTATTAGTGGTAGTAGTACTTGCAGGAGTAGTAGTACTTGCAGTAGTAGTAGTAGTAGTAGAAGTAGTGGTACTTGTAGTAGTAGTAGTAGTACCTCGAAGAAGCCGGTCCCATGCTGCTGGATGATCAGACTGGAGTCTGGTTTGTTGCGACAGTACGTCACATACATGTGGAACTTATCGGCCTATTACGGACCAATTAGACGGTGGCGTTAGTTTGATAATCTGTAACAGAGGCTTCTGATTGGTCGAGAAAGCTCACCCATGTCACGAAGCAATGGCCGACGTCTTCAGGGAGCTGCTCGTAATTTTCCAGTTCTTTCAGGAAAATACTGCAGAGACAGACACAAAGAGAGGATGGAGGACGTGAATTTTAAGCTAGGGGACATAACTTTAAAGCTGGGGAATGTGACTTTAAAGCTAGAGGATGTGACTTTAAAGCTGGGGAATGTGAATTTTAAAGCTAGAGGATGTGACTTTAAAGCTGGGGGACGTGACTATCAGACGACAACATAAGTCTGTGTTAAACCCAGGTCTCTAGCTCTTAAACAGTTTTTATCACATGTATTTCTGGCATCTGTTACATCTTTAGATCAAAAGATCGCCCTCACTCGGCCCAATGAGGCAGATAGTGACTCTCAGGGCTCTCACACTTAAGAGAACATGTTTTGCTTCAGACCTGTTGTGGAACTCGTAAATGTCCTGGATGTTTCCAAACACAACGTCGTCTTTGTTACAGAGTCCAGAAGGAACGTCCTCCGCTCCGGAAGACATCTCCCACAGGTAGGTCTGAGGAACACACACATGCTGAAAACACACACACATTGAACACACACACACACACACACTGAACACACACACAGACTGAACACATGCACACACACATGCTGAACACACATATACTGAACACAGATGAGTAGTGGTGCCTGCGTGTCTGTGTGTATCACCTCAATACACTCCTGCAAATCCCTGACATACACTCTCTCCGTCTGCAGCAGCTCAGCCATGATGTACCTGAAACACACACACTTTTAGAATGATCCCAGGTTGTTGTACAGGTCTTTGGTCGAAACTGTTCTTGTTGAGTCAGGTCTGGTCTGGTTTCCACCATGGATCTAAAATAATATCTGCCTAGGATGTTAATAGCTTATAGCTGAAGGACCAAGGGTTCGGGGCTTACTGTGGTACTGCAGACTAAATAAATAAACTTAATTCATTCGGGCTACCCAGAAATGTTCCCAATAGAACTCAATGTAAACTAAAACAGCTCAACCTCAGCTGACAGAGAACCTACAGCTTTCATAAAGGTCGGTTTTTGTGGGGATTTTAGTGTCCCTTGTCATCCTGAACTTTTTTTCTTCTTGAATCTATCGGTCTTCTTTAAATCCACACTTTAGTGCCACAAACTCTGCTTGTTTTCTTCCCGCTCTAGTTCTGCTCTGATCAGCAGCGCCTGATCGGTCAGAACACGGCCCTGCTATTCTGTGCATGTGTACGCACACGTATGCTCGTTAGTATTTGGTGCAAAGCATCATGGAAGGCTGTCCACTGCGCAGAACCGGAAGTACCCCACGCATGTCCAAATATGGGCGAGTTCCACTAGTCTTACGGTGCCCATGGTGGCTTCATGTACTACAGAGTATGCGCCATTGATTTGAATGCTCTGACATCTTTCATCTCCAAGGCTTGATTCACACTCACTCTTTCTTGCGAGCCGTGCGTCTCTTTTCGTCGCTGACCTGGTGTCCCGGGTCGGACAGGTTCACTTCGGGGTCAGAGTCAGAGAGACTGTTGGGGATCAGCTCCAGCTCCAGGTCTTTGTGATCCTACAACACAACAGCGTACACACACCTGCCATTGAGAAACAACTGCATAATAAAGAACGTCTGAATATAATCTTAAAGCTTTCTCTCTCTTCTAACGTCACGACACATTTCAAACCATATTTAGATTTGAGAAAAATAATCACAAGCAATTTCACCACACTGGTCCCTGCTTTAGGCAGGGGTGATGTGTGTTTAAGAGGTATCTCTAAGTTTTAAGGCTGAAAAAAAAACTCACTTTATACACTTTTCTAACTACGTGAACTCACGACTGCTGAAGAGAGAGAGACCAGAGAGACAGATCAGAGAGACAGATCAGAGAGACAGATCAGAGAGACCTGCGAGAGAGACGAGAGGGAGAAACCATAGAGGGACCAGAAGCAGAGTCTTCCTGTGGTTGTCTCTGACCTGAGCAGAGCCTCCGGCTGCTGTCTCCAGAAGGTGACGGTATTGTCCCATTCTCGCGGTGAAGTCTCTGTATCTTTTGTCCACAGACGAGACGCAGCGGCGCAGCTCGTTGCGGTGGGCGTGTCCTTTAGCTAGCATGCTCTCGGCTAGCTGTACGAGCAGGTGCACTTTCTCCTGTGTGTGCTGTGGACAGAGAGAGATTTTAGAGACTTAAGACAGACCAGAGGCATCCCCTAAGGCAGAGAAAGGGACTGCAGGTGGAGAGAGCTCCTATTAAGGCAGAGATACAGTGCCTTGTGAAAGTATTCGGCCCCCTTGAACATTTCAACATTTCGCCACATTTCAGGCTTCAAACATAAAGATATAAAAATTAAATTTTTTGTCAAGAATCAACAACAAGTGGGACACAATCGTGAAGTGGAACGAAATTTATTGGATAATTTAAACTTTTTTAACAAATAAAAAACTGAAATGTGGGGTGTGCAATATTATTTGGCCCCTTGCGCTAATACTTTGTAGCGCCACCTTTTGCTGCAATTACAGCTGCAAGTCGCTTGGGGTATGTCTCTATCAGTTTTGCACATCGAGAGACTGGAATTCTTGCCCGCCTCTTCCTTGCAAAACAGCTCGAGCTCAGTGAGGTTGGATGGACAGCGTTTGTGAACAGCAGTCTTCAGCTCTTTCCACAGATTCTCGATTGGATTCAGGTCTGGACTTTGACTTGGCCATTCTAACACCTGGATACGTCTATTTGTGAACCATTCCATTGTAGATTTGGCTTTATGTTTTGGATCATTGTCCTGTTGGAAGATAAATCTCCATCCCAGTCTCAGGTCTTTTGCAGACTCCAACAGGTTTTCTTCCAGAATGGTCCTGTATTTGGCTCCATCCATCTTCCCATCAATTTTAGCCATCTTCCCTGTCCCTGCTGAAGAAAAGCAGGCCCAAACCATGATGCTGCCACCACCATGTTTGACAGTGGGGATGGTGTGTTCAGGGTGATGAGCTGTGTTGCTTTTACGACAAATATATTGTTTTGCATTGTGGCCAAAAAGTTCGATTTTGGTTTCATCTGACCAGAGCACCTTCTTCCACATGTTTGGTGTGTCTCCCAGGTGGCTTGTGGCAAACTTTAAACGAGACTTTTTATGGATATCTTTGAGAAATGGCTTTCTTCTTGCCACTCTTCCATAAAGGCCAGATTTGTGCAGTGCACGACTGATTGTTGTCCTATGGACAGACTCTCCCACCTCAGCTGTAGTTATCTGCAGTTCATCCAGAGTGATCGTGGGCCTCTTGGCTGCATCTCTGATCAGTCTTCTCCTTGTTTGAGATGAAAGTTTGGAGGGACGGCCGGGTCTTGGTAGATTTGCAGTGGTCTGATACTCCTTCCATTTCAATATAATTGCTTGCACAGTGCTCCTTGAGATGTTTAAAGCTTGGAAAATCTTTTTGTATCCAAATCCGGCTCTCTGTGCTTTAAACAGAACCCTGAGACTATCAAAGAGCAGGTGCATTTATACGGAGACTTGATTACACACAGGTACATTCTATTTATCATCATCAGTCATTTAGGACAACATTGGATCATTCAAAGATCCTCACTGAACTTCTGGACTGAGTTTGCTGCACTGAAAGTAAAGGGGCCGAATAATATTGCAGGCCCCACTTTTCAGTTTTTTATTTGTTAAAAAAGTTTTAATTATCCAATAAATTTCGTTCCACTTCACGATTCTGTCCCACTTGTTGTTGATTCATGACAAAAAATTAAAATTTTATATCTTTATGTTTGAAGCCTGAAATGTGGCGAAATGTTGAAAGGTTCAAGGGGGTTGAATACTTTCGCAAGGCACTGTAAGTATTGCAGGCCGAGAGAAAGCCCCCTGAGGTAGAGAGAGGTACCGCACCTTGGCAGAGATGCAGAAGTCCCGGTGTTGGACCATCAGCTCCTGAGTCTCCGTCAGACTGGCTCCAGGAGAGGTGTGTGTGGAGAGGTAGTGATCACCTGACTGCGACAGCCAATCAAGGGCCTGCAGGCAGAGACAGCTCTATCAGCTTTCATTCAAACAGTTCTTGTGTCAGCTTCAGACAGCTCTTTTGTAAGCTCACCTGTTGTGCGTGAGACTGGAACATGAGGAACTGCTGACACTGGTCGAGGCGTCGCTTCTTTAACGTCCAGAAGTGAAGAACACGATTCTCTCTCTGCAGCAGCTCACTGAGGATCCCTGAGGACCAACACCATGTCTAAACCAGGTCTGAAACAGGTCTCTCTCTGGTCTCTCTTATCTCTCTCTGGTCTGTCTCTGGTCTGTCTCTCTCTCTGGTCTTTGTCTGGTCTATCTCTCTCATGTTCAGCTCGTGCAGCAGCCCTCCTCCTCCTCATTGCCAACTCATTCTTGTGCATGTAACAGGACTGACCTTTGACCTGCTGCTCTGGGACCCTGGAGTGACCGCCGCTGACTTCGGTTGCCCCGGTAATGCTCACGTTGTGCCCGGAAATTGTTGCCATGGTGACGCTGTTCCTGTGGATGTACTTCAGGAACACCTCTGCGTTTCTGCGTGCCAGAGTGCAGGCCTGCAGGGGGCAGAAGTCAGCTCTAAAAAGCTCTATACACAGAGCCTGATTCTGAAGTGCTCATGGTGAAGTTTGACTTACATGTAAAAGTAAACTTCTAGCTTAGTAACCGTTTGTGTCACCCTCAACATTAACCTGTGGTTTATCGGTCTCTGTGATCCTGCTGTTTATATTGTGATATTTTCTTTGTAAATCAAGATATGCGCCATATCTGGATTGAACAATCAAAGGCCTTCTGTCCCCAAATTCCCCAATGTGCTTTTTGATTGGTAGTTTGTCATCCACCAATCTTGCTCCAGATTCCCACTAATGTAGGAATGTGAGTTAGCTCTATTCTTCATGAAACCTGAGTTGGTTTGAGTTCTCATACAGCTGTGTGTGTCAGCTCTACTCCTTAGCTGTTTGAGTCAGCTCTAGTCCTCATACAGCTGTGTGAGTCAGCTCTCCTCATGGAGCTCTAATGGCCGGTGTAACCTTCAGACCTTGAGGAAAGCCTCCTTCTGCTCCATGTGTTTCCCCATCAGCGGCAGCAGCTGCTCTGGTGTTCTCTCTCCAGATCCACACCAGTCCTCCTCCCTGCGGTACTCCTGCTCCAGGCTCTCCAGCACACCACACACCTGTGACACAACATGACAACTGTGTGTGTCTCTGTGTGTGTCTTTGTGCGTGTCTTTGTGCGTGTCTCTGTGTGTGTCTCTGTGTGTTTACCTGTTGGGAAGTGCGGTAGAATGCAGCAGAAGCGTTCACTAGTTTCAGTCGGTCTTCTATCCGCAGCATCAGTGTTTGCCAGTGCAGCGCCACTGTCTGGGCACAGGCCCTCACTGCATCTGGGTCATAGTGCCCCGCCCTGTTCAAACACATCACCTCACATTACACATGTGTTACAGACCTCATATTACACCTGTGTCACGGACCAAACCTGTGTTACACCTGTGCGTGTTTTCTTACCGCACAAGCAGCTCCGCTCTCTGCTGTAGCGCCAATGCCACCTGGTGGGTCCTCTGCAGAGAGTCGGCGTGGAGCAAGGCCTGAGAAACACAGATGCACAGACATACACACAAACACACAGATAAACTCAAATGAAAACAAAGTGACACACACACACATATCTGTGTGTGTCTGTGTCTGTGTGTGTACATATGTGTGTGTCTGGGAAGTGGGGATGTGAGGCTCTATGCAATTAACATGACTGGACAACATTTTTTATTTATTACGTTGTGTTTAATCCAGACTCCAGCAGCAGTATGTATTATAAAAACATGTTATAGTGAATACAAGTTCATGTTTTGAGTTTTATCCATAATAAAAGAATAAATAAACATTTGAGCAATGTTTGGAAATTGAGTAACATGCAGTTTGTCCCTTCAGACTTACAGTAGTTTGCACAAAATAGAAATACACAGCAAAAATGCCCAGGCAAAAATGCATTTCTGCCACCTAAAAAGACACTGAGCCCTGATGAACTCCAGGCAACAAGAGAACCAGGAGCTAAGGTCACAGAGCAAAGTGTGTCTGAGACAATTAGCAGGAGGCGGCAGCGGACCCACCTCGCTGAAAGGTGGAGAAACGAGCAGGAACAACAAAGAGACCGACCAAAAACAAGCAGCGGTAGGACCAGAACCAAGAGGAGCGCTGGTACCAGTGGATAAAATACGATTGAGATACTAATTTGTTTTTAAAGGAACAATATGTAAAAATCTGGCCAAAAGTGGTACTGCAGTCACAGTCAAGTTTTGTAGTCCTCTCCCACTCTCCCTGACTCAGGTTGCCAGATTCACACCAAATCCAGCAGCAAACACAGGGAATTATTTTATCAGTTGTTTTTCCGTCTCCATTCACATTGCCATGACAGCCGTGCTAATGCTGAATGAATGTTTTGATTCATGTTTTTTTTATTATCATTATTTGGACATTTGAGATAAAAAACAAAAACAAAATAAAAGCAATGTAATTATACATAGTTTATGCAAAATACATAAGCAATTGATGTCCAAAATAGGAGTGGGAAGAATGGATGTTGGAACGTATTTCTTCAGCGTATCAACATCAGGGTTTGCTCAAGAGGATATCACCTTTCAATTTTATTTATTCCCTATTTTTTAGACAAACATGTAAAAGTCCCACATCAAAAAGAGACTAACATTATTTTAATTGGGTACATGTGGTCTTAAATGATTATTTTTACAATTAAGCTATAATCTGCAAAAAAACGTCTTGACCTTTTTTAGAGCAATCTGTCATAGAATGTGATAACATGCAATAAATACAAAAAGACCGGAATCGAACCCGGGTTCCTGCATCGTAAGCACATAGTTTTGACCACTAGGCCACCGATTCACTCAGTTACAGCTGTCTCAATTGTTCAAAGGCATCCCGATATAAATCCTCGTTTTAGTCTTTGTTTTGTCATTAATGATTTGAGAGTCATCACAAGACCTTTTTTAGTTCTGCGCCACATGTTATTTTACCACTGAGATTAGTGAGCCGCACAGAGTTCTGGCAACACGATCATGGACTTACATGACACTTCCTGATTGGCGAAACGGCGGAGGGTAGGACATCAAAATCAAAACAATAACAACTTTTACGGGTCGTAAAACTAATTTTGATATTCAAATATCTCGGATGAACTACTGTTATCAGTTAAAGATGTGTTTGAAAAGAACATGATTTATTAATGCCTTTTGAAATATTCGGGTCATTTAATGATGACTTGACATGCAAATATTACATATTGCTCCTTTAATGTGATAAGTCTACAAATTATATATTACATTACATTTTTTGGAAAAAATAACTTTTAAAAAACAAGTGTGGCTTTTAGCTGCACTAACTGACTTTATTTTTGTATTCATTACGAAAATGCTATCCATGTCCATGCAGTGCATTGGGATATATGTCCTTTTGAAGAAAAAGTAGCGCAGATTTGTACTGGCGTAACAATATTTTAGATTGAGTTTTTGATGAAACAAGGAAGAGAATGTGTTTCGGGTCGCGGATTGTGACCAATCACAACGGACCACTAGCCCCCACTTTCGTGAGAAATCTACAGGTCCCTGTTAGCATAGACGGCTGAGTTAGCACAACAAGCCGAGGAGCTAACCTGAAACTTTGTGTGTCTTCGTCACCGGTTACTGCTTACACAGCGAGACAGCCATCCAAAAGAAAGTCTCGTTCCTCCGCGCTTCCCGGTTCTATTGTTCTATGGTCACGCCATCCACGTGAAAATCCATATCCATGGTTTATCCATATTGGAAGACGCTAACTCCGTCCCAACAGTGGGTGTGTGTGGGGGGCGATAGCTTCGTGGGTGCGGGGAGGGGAGCAGAAAGAGAGAGGCCAGCGAGTCTGCGGCTTCAAAATCCCAAAGTCAGTTAGTGCAGCTTTAATAAACGTCTGCATTTGTTTTGACTCATGTTGAACTTGTAATTATTTTATTTAAGAGTTATGCTGCATAATGTGTAGCTCAAATGTACAGTTTAAATTAAGGCTCTAGTATTTGCCCTTGTTGTGGAAATACACCTTTTGCAAATATGTTCCCACGGCTATGTTTGTGTGTGTCTCTGTGCGTGCGTGTTTGTGTGTTAGTGTGTGTCTCTTTGTCTATGTGTGTGTTTCTGTGTGTGTGTGTTACCTCAATGGATTGTTGGAGGCGCTCATGTTCGCGCTGCAGCTGCTCTGCTTCAGACAAACAGCTGGAATTCAGGAGACACGACGACAGCATCATCTCCCCCTCATTTATCCAGCCCAGGACCTGAGAAGGAGGGAGTTGTAGCTCAAGTCAGCTCTAATCCTCATGGAGCTGTGTGGGTTAGCTCTAATCCTCATGTGGCTGTGTGGGTTAGCTCTAATCCTCATGGAGCTGTGTGGGTTAGCTCTAATCCTCATGGAGCTGTGTGGGTTAGCTCTAATCCTCATGGAACTGTGTGGGTTAGCTCTAATCCTCATGTTGCTGTGTGGGTTAGCTCTAATCCTCATGTTGCTGTGTGGGTTAGCGCTAATCCTCATGGAGCTGTGTGGGTTAGCGCTAATCCTCATGGAGCTGTGTGGGTTAGCTCTAATCCTCATGGAGCTGTGTGGGTTAGCTCTAATCAGCTTCTTCCATGAAAAGGCATACACTTTGGGTGACTAGTGTACTCTTTCCATTCCATCTCTAACACAGTGTGGGTATTTGGAGCTCGGTGTAGAGCCGCTGCTCACCTGTTTCACCTGACTCTGTAGATGCCGCAGCTGTAGATTCTGCTCTAACAGGGTGTGGGTGTGGTCTGCAATCTGCTGCAGTTCCTTCTGTTTGTCCTGTAGGAGGCGCTGCAGCTCCTCCACCTGAGGGGCCAGAGAGGGGCCCTCAGGCTCAGACAGGTCCACCCCTGAGGACACAGAGCATTTTAACACATGATGAGGGACCAAAGAGAGATCATATAGAGAACAGAGAGAGAGAGACCAGAGAGAGGGAGACAAGAGAGAGAGATAGATCAGAGAGAGACCTGAGAGAGAGAGAGACCCTGACATTTTCCCCATAAAATGTAAACTAAAACAGCTCGACCTCAGCTGTCAGAGAACTTAACTTTTATAAAGATCACATTTTGTGAGGATTTTAGTGTCCCATGTTATCCTAAACCTTTTCTCTTGTTCAATCCTTTGGTTTTCTATAAATCCACACTTTAGTGCAACAAATTCTGCTTGTTTGACTTCTGCTCTAAAGCCCTGTGTATACTTGTGCGGCGCTGAGCTTCTGATGGCCCTCGTGACGTTACCTGATGTCACATGACCAACGTAAGGATCAACGCAAGAACCTTGTGCTACCACCTGTGCACGGATTTTTCTAACTACAGTACACAGCCGGCAGCACACAGAAGGTCCGTGGTGATTGGCCCGTGTGTTTTGAATGGAAGGATGGAGCGGCTGCGGAAGACTGAAGTGTGGGCTCATGGTTCAGAGCCTGATATATGTGGAGGCCGTGAACTAGCATATTGAACATTTATATATTGTACAGATGTTTCTTTTGCAATGTTCCTGCACCTGTCTTTATTCGAATCTACACTTGTAACTTATCGCGTCTGTTGCGTTCCTCCTGCACTTGCAAATAGTTTATGTTTGGTCTCATATATCCTGCACAGACTATTTATATTTTTTACCTTAACAATGTTGCACACTTCTGTCTTTTGCATATACATTTCAAATATGTGACATTTTAATTTCTCCAGTGTGAGATCAATAAAGTCTATCTTATCTTATCTAAACTTAAATATAGGCGAGTTCCGCTAATCTTTCAGTCCCAGTGGCTATCCCATGCGGTACTGAGCACAAACTATTGATTTGAATAGGGCGCCTTCCCTTCTTGGATTACTGGGCTTCTCTTAGAGCAGGGGCCGGCATCTCAAAAGGTTCAAAGAGCCATATTTGACAAAAAAACTAAAAACAACATCTGTCTGGAGCCGCAAAAAAATAACAGCCTTGTATAAGGCTTATATGAAGGTAACACAGGCTGCATGCTGTATTAGCTACATTAGCCTAATATCTAAATGACAAAGTAAAGGCTACAAATACACAATAAGCATTCATGATTATTATATGTCTATTTTCACTGCAGCGTGTAAAATATAGCCCTCCCACACCATTTTTAGACATTTTTGAAAAGGCTCCAGGAGCCACTTGAGGAGCTCTAAAGAGCGGGTTGCCGACCCACGACTTAGAGGTATCTGCTGGTCTTCCCTCATCCAGTGTCCGTTGTTACATGCAGTGATGCAGTGTGAACGTCAGTGTAACGGCTCTCGCATCTGCATTCTAAGGGACGAGCCCACAGACCCCGGTTTCCATGACAATGGGAAGCAGTTTCCACGGCAACGCAGACCCTTACCTCCCGCTGAATGTACCACACCCCTTTCTCCTCCAATCAGCCTCTCTTACAGACGACCGGGCTGTAGTAGAAGTAGCAGCAGTAGCTGAAGTAGTATAGTAGTAGTAGTAATAGTGGCAGTAGTAGTAGCAGCAGTAGCAATAGATAGATAAATAGATGGATACTTTATTGATCTCCCGTAGGAGAAATTCAGGTGTCCAGTAGCAGAAGACTCATCCAGGTTTGTTGTACAGCCTGACAGCCGACGGAACAAAGGACCTCTTGAAACGTTCCGTTCGGCAGCGTAGTGATAGGAGCCTGTTGCAACGAATAATCCTCTGAGTGGCCATAGTGTCATGCAGAGGGTGTCTGGAGTTACCCAGGATGCCCTGCATTAGAGCCCTCATCCTTCTCTCCAGCACAGCTCCCACAGAGTCCACACTTCTCCCCATCACAGAGACACATTTCCTGATCAGCCTGTCGAGCTGGTTACTGTCTCTCGAGGTCAGACTGCCGCCCCAACACGCGACCCCAAAGAACACGGCACTAGCTACCACAGACTGGTAACGTATGTACAACATCTGACTGCTCACATTAAAGGACTTCAGTCTTCTCAGGTAGAAAAGTCTGCTCTGACCTGACTTATAGCAGCAGTAGGAGTAGCAGCAGTTGTACTAAGTACTACTAGTAGCAGTAATGGTATTTGTAGTAGTAGTTCTCGTACTCACCGGAGGCCTGTACTTCTGTGATGTACTGCTGCAGCTCGTGTCCCTGCTGAATGACCTCGTAGATCATGTTGTTCATGGCCAAACGCCGCTCCATATGTCTGAAGGAGAAGATACAGACAGAAGCTTTAACTGTTGTATATTAGCTCCATTCTCCAAACATCAGCTCTATGAAGGCGACAGTGAGGGGTTTCTCCTTTGGCTCTAAACCTCATGGAGCCTCTTTGAGCTAGCTCTAGGCAAGGTAAGGCAAGTTTATTTGTATAGGACAATTCATACACAAGGCAACTCAAAGTGCTGAACAAAACAAGTACATTAAAAAGAAAGATAAAAATATAAAATCCCTCAGTTATATGCACAGCTAAACAGAACTGTTTAACATGGATTTAAAAAGAAGCCTGTCTCACATTTTCAGTAAGATTGATTCAGATTTTAGCAGCATGAATCTGAAAAGCAGCCTCCCCATGTTTAGTTCTGACTCTGGGCACTAACAGGAGGCCCGTCCCTGTGCTCCTCAGAGTCCGAGTTGTTTCATATGGCACATATGGTTGAGCACCGCCCATCAACTCGCTCACAGGCTTCTCATTTTCCCCACGCTCTCATCCCACGGAGCCATCTAGTTTTATTTGCAATCTCATACATATGCAAACATTAGCATTAGCTGTACAACAATCACTGATGAAATGGTACAAAAGCAATGCACTGCTATCAAAATATATAACTGAAAGATTACCGCTAGTTTTGCATCTGAATGTAGTCCGAGCATAGATAGTCCGAGGCGGTCCTGCACCCGCCTGTCTCTCCAGAGGATACAATATCTTCTTTGATATTTTTTTTCGCATTAGTTCCCTCTTTTCCTCACTTTTGCGTCGTTTGGGCTGTTTTGCTGTGTCTGCGTTACAGCCAGAGCAGGTATATAGCCACTTTCTGCCTCCATTCGGCTCTTGTTTACCTGTGCTGTAGAAGCTAGAGGACGCAGCCTCGTTCTGTGATTGGAGGAGAGCTGGCGTCACCCTCTCTACTCAGCACTTTTTACGGACTGAATTCATACACAAGCTGAATCAATGAGCTCAAGTTTTCAACTAAATTACGGATTATAATACAACTTGTATGTAGTATTAAGCATTTAAGCATTTTTTTCTAATATATGAGCTCATTAGAAAAAAAATCGGGTATAGCTTCTTTAACACAAGGACCGCCGTGCTCTAAACATACCTTGCACCGCCCCCTGCGGTCAGTTGACCGCTATGTATTTTGCGCTGATACAGCCTTTTGCCAAATTGATTGTTCACTAAACCAGAACTTGATGTTGCAAGGAAATCGTGATCATAATGAAACTGTGTAAATTATTTGTCTAAATATGCTAAGTAATTGTAATTCTAGCCGAAATAAAAGACTAAGACGACACATTGTGCGTGTACTGATCCATCAAAATTACGATGACTTTTCAGGCTAGATTTATTTTGTAACTTTGCAAACACCTAAAAGGTTGGTCACTATATGTTAAATTTGACTCAGTAACAATATGTAAATTCAAACAATATAAATGATAGTTTAGAAAAGCACGGGACCATAACGTCTTCGCGCTGCTATATGCGTCGACTTCTACGTCATCTCCAGACTGTTTTCTCTTTCCAGCCGAAATCCCCGTGGGAAATATTATCTAGATAATAATAATAGTTTTTGTATTGACACAAGATTATCAGCTAGGCTACCATCATCAATGTAAAATCTTCAATTTTACACGGGACACGTTAGAAAGACAAATATATATATATTTGTATTTATTTGAGACAAGCAGTGCTCTTTATGATCAGAACAAAAGTATAATCAGTGCGCTCTGTGCAGAATAACACACAGTGTTATCTGGATGAAATAAGAATGATATCCTTATTGATATGATGAGGGCCGCTTCTGCCCCACAGTCGCTCTCCTCCTGCAGTGTCCGCGGGTGACGAGAGGCCTCACAGCGCTCTCTCTGCACTCTGCCTTGATAGTTCATCTAATTATTCTATTTTATTGCAATATTGTATTCTGCTTTATTGCCTTCTTGTATGTATAAATATAATAATGTAATTGATGATGAATGAAAAGGCAGAATGGAGCGACAGCGCGCACACAGACACCTGCGTATGGCTGGCATTACGCGGGTCATGTGCGTTATTGCTTCTGGACTTACAACACTGCTGTCCGTGCCGTGAATGCACTATGGGTTTACGTTCAGATTTAGAATATTATAGGTGTTCTCCCCGCTGTCATGCACCTCAGAGTCTGACATCTCACCTCCGTCAGACTGTTCTCCTTCAATGTCTTGAAGCACTGTCAGGGCTTCCGTGTACTTGCAGCTCTATTCATGTTGTACTCCTCTCAATTCAAAACTCTTTCTCTCTCCCAAATAATAATTTAAAAAAAATCAAGTCCCTTTAGAGTCTAATGACAACATATTGATACCTTTTTATAAGGCGCGAAAACCCCCCGGGAAATCGTACTATGACAACAGTCGCCCCTGCGCCATGTATCCCTATGGGGCAGCAGAAAGGGCTGTGGTTTAGAAAAGTTAAAATGCGTGTAAATCTTGTTTTCTTTACTTTTTCCAAAACCAATACACACCAAAATATAAACAACAAGTACCCAGTAAAAGTCATAAAATTTAAACTTCTGGCGTTTTGTTTTGAATACACTAATTAGCATATTAAAGTGAGTGACGGTCAGTTGACCGCTAGGGGCGCTCCTAGTGTTAAAGTCTATTCTCTGAGCCACAGGAAGCCAATGCAGAGACCTGAGAACTGGACTAATGTGGTCGTACTTCCTGGTTCTAGTCAGGACTCGAGCTGCTGCGTTTTGAATGCACTATTGCTGTTTTACAGCCTGTTTGGACAGACCTGTGAGCAGGCCATTGCAGCAGTCTAACCTACTGGAGACAAATGCATGGATAAGAACCTCTAGGTCTGAATTAGACACTATGTTTTTAATCCTGACTATGTTTTTAGGTCTAATCCGCATGGAGCCTGTTTCAGTCATTTTTGTCTTGAAAATGTCTTGGGTTGTAGCTCCCTCACCCAGGTGAGGCTACCTTGGACCTGTGGAGCCTCTTCTGGGACAGGGTGGGCTCACCTGTGGACCCTCTGCTGGGATAGGCTCAGAGCCTCAGGACTGGCCAGCTCTTGACTTGGGTCTCGTTTGTCAGAGCTGAAATCCTGAGACTGTTTCTGTAAGTCCTGCCTCCAGGCATCGATCTCAGACACCACCTGGAAAGCACACAGTCCTTGTAGCAGAAGTATAACTTGTAGTAGTAGTATTCGTACTTATAGTACAAGAGTTGTATTTGTAGTAGTAGTAGTAGTAGTACTTGTACTAGCCAAAGTAGTAGTACTTGTAGTAGTAGCACTTGTAGCAGCAGGAGTAGTAGTAGTAGTAGTAGTAGTAGTACCTCCAGAGTACACTGGTGCAGGATCCTGAGCTGCAGAAACACGTCCACTCTGATCTTCCTCTGGTGGAACAGCTCCTCCAGCTGAACATGAGCCTCCTCCAACTGCTGCAAGACGGTCTCCACATGGACCACCGAGCTGCCCTGAGGTCTACACAAACACAGACACATATAAGAAGCAGAAAGACACATAGACACATATGAGGATCAGAGACCCACACATACACACACACGCATACAGTATATGAGGAGCAGAGAAGCACACACACATGAGGAGCAGACACACGCACACACTAACACACACACGTATGAGGGCCAGAGACACATGTACACACACAAACCCATAAGAAAACCAGAAGAAGTATCCCAGCTTTAAACATGTGTTTTTATTGGACTATAGCAAACCTAGGAAAAACACGGCATTTTAATTTGGCCCATTGCTTATTTTTCACATAAGTTTATTTCATCTTGCATTTTCTGCGTTGATGAAATACAAGTGAACACTTGATGTGAGCATTAGCAGACCCCGTGTTTGAGGAGTACAATGTGAGACTGCACCAGACAAAGCTGAGAAATACTGAAACCTGAATGATTGGGAAGTGGCGCGGACATTGAGCACAGTACCTACACTGAAAGTTCGCAACTCCTTGATGCGAACGCTGGGTTCGCATCAAAGAATGCAGCAAGCTTGTCCAGCTTTGTGATATCCCACACAATCGCTAAAAAAACAAAACCATTTGCAGCAGGAGAGTTTTTTTACAGTACAGTATTGTATTTTCCATATATCACATATATGTATCTATATATATATACTGTATATAGGGCCAGGACTTTAACGCGTTAATTACGATGAATTAATGACACACTTAAAAAATTGACGCATTTTAATCGTATTTATTTTTGCACCGCGGAACGTTTCTCACTAGATGAGTTTCAGACTAACGCGCATGAATCATGGATGGCATGAATTCAGTTCAGACAACAACAAACCACAGTGGCACAGTGAACATGAACCATGGATCTATTATAATAACTGGATAGGGTATTAAGGGTATTACAGCAGGAGCTGAAGGACCCATGTGCTCGCGGAATTCTCGCGGTACTGCAGACTAAACCAGACTAAATTCACATTACCCAGAAACAAAAGAAGCTGATGTAACCGGGTTGGTTGGCCCTGTGAAAGTATATTTCTAAATATGGTATTGCTACACTTAATGTATTGCTTAAGCTTATGTATTCAGTCATTATTCAATGTATTAGGGCTATCAAATGATTAACATTTTCGATCGAATTAATTACAGCTTAAAATTTATTTAATCATAATGAATCGTATTTCGAACTATCAGCAACATTATGCCATACAATGACAACATAGTGTACATACTACTACTACTGTATTTGTGTAATATAACAATAAATCCACATAAAATGGCATTAGTGATATTAACATTCTGTCTTTTCTGAGTTGTATTAAAAGTTGTATCAAAACCCGTAATTTAATAGAAAAATTGAGCTCATTGATTCAGCTTGTCTATGAATTCATGTCATAAAAAATGCTGAGTAGAAACTTTGCGTGACGCTCGTTCTCCTCCAATGAGTGGCAGCTCTGTTGCAAACAGGCCACGCCTCCTCCAGCGTCTGCAGCGCAGGTAAACAGAACAGCATGGCAGCTGAAAGTGTCTATACCTGCTCTGGCTGTAACTGCAGACACAGAAAAACAGCCCAAAATATGCAAAAATGAGGAGGAGAAGAGGCAACTAAAGCAAAAAAATGATCAAAGAAGAAATCAAGCCCGGGTGAACATAGCTAGCTTAAATCACGTTGTATTCTCACTGTAGAGACCTGCAGGAGCGGAACTGCCTCGGAATAACTTTGGACGCGAAACTGGCGGTAATCTTTCAGTTATTGTACTGTTTATTTTGTTAGCGGTGCGTTGATTTGTACCATTTCATCAGTGATTGCTGTGCAGCTAATAAGAAGTTGTGCTAATGCTAACTACCTGCTCTGTCGACATCTCACGCACGCCTGTGTACGCGGCACTTTTGTGTTATTATGGGATGCATGATGGGCGGGTCACATGCATCAAATGCGTAATTTGATGCATGTGATAAATAAACCTTTTCTCTTTCTCAAAAAATAGTTGCCCACCCCTGGACTACAGATGCCAACTTTACAGACTGACTAAAATTGCTTAATTTCCTTCAATGCAGTGTAACGTTAGACCAGGACCAGGGAAGGACAGAGGGATCTCGGGTGGAAATGCAGATATTTTGGACAGTCTGGTTTGAGAACAGCAGGGTTTACCTGAGCTGCAGGATCAGGTCCTCTCCCTCTCGGATCACACTCATGGCAGCTTCCTGTAGTAAGACTTCAGTTAGAGCTTAGTCTGGGATAGATTTAGCCTGTGGGACTCCTCTAGTGAACTTTCAAGCTTTCAATTGCTGACATATATTTGAAAGTGTTTAACAGCATTGTACAGTGTGTGGCAGTTGTGTGTACCTGTGTGTATCAGTTGTGTGTACCTGTGTATAGCAGTTATGTGTACCTGTGTGAAGCAGTTCTGTATGCCTGTGTGTAGCAGTTGTGTGTACCTGTGTGTTGGCCTGCTGCTGCTGCTGCTGACTGATCAGAGTCTGAAGAGCCTCCACAGACTCTGGGCACGCGACGAGTTCCGAGGAGAGCTGCTTCTGGAGACCATCCATCCACACAGAGAGCTGAGGAGGAGGAGAGGAGTAGAAGGGGGGAGGAGTAGGAGAGGAGTAGGAGAGGAGTAGAAGGGGAGGAGGAGGGGGATGAGAAGAAGGAGGGGGGAGAGCAGGAGGAGTATTAATAGTAGTAGCAGAGGTAATAGCAGTGGCAGTAGAAGTCACAGTGGCAGTAGCAGTCCTAGTAGCTAGTAGCAGTTGAAGTAGAATTAGCAGTAATAATAGCAGTTGCAGTAGTACCTCTTTGGTGTGGGTGTAGAAGGACACTGCCAGGTCTAGTAGAAGTTTTCTTTGCTCCACTTTCTGAATGAACGCCTGAAAAACACAAAGAACCTTCACATATGTGTGGTAATGTCACATGTTTACAGATGTGTGGTGATGTCACATATTTTCAGACGTGAAAACATGTGATATCACATGTTCACAAGCATTTAGTGATGTCACATGTTTATACTGAGGCCGTAGATCCAGGACTGAGGCTGTAGATCCAGGACTGAAGCTGTAGATCCAGGACTGAGAATGTAGATCCAGGACTGAGGCTGTAGATCCAGGACTGAGGCTGTAGATCCAGGACTGAGGCTGTAGATCCAGGACTGAGGCTGTAGATCCAGGACTGAGGCTGTAGATACAAGACTGAGGCTCACCTGCATGCGTAGCTCCAGGTCTCTTGAAGCCTGGTAGATCTCCTCCTCCTGACATTCTCCAGACTGAGCGAGCTGATCGGCCGCCTCCAGAAGCTTCTCAGCGTTTGTGTAGGTGTTCTGTGGAAGATACACATGTTTAAAGTTGGGGCCTGTGACTGTAGTCTCAGAAAAAAAACATTTTTAAAGCTGGGGTCTGTAACTTTAGCTGTGAGCTGAATATGAAATGGAGTGATTTAGGAACAAGTGAGATGGTTTTTATGATATAGTCCTCCTTGACATGGATCAGCTTTAGACCCTCGCTCACCTGCGCCACCTGCTGGAAGTCGTCATGCCTCTTCTGCAGCGCTCGGGCTCGGTGCAGAGACTTGCCCACTCCCCCATGTTTGTTCAGGAAGACCTCCCCATGCTGCTCCACCCAGTCCAGCACCTGAGACAAGAGACCAGCTGTTAGCATGTCGTACCTGAGGGGACCACAGGGGGAGCTGCAGTACCTGAGGGGACCCTTGTCTAGAGCAGGACAATAGGAGGCCTAAAGCAGGACTAAAGCAGGTCTAAAGCAGGAATAATTTGTGCTCCTGAAATTCTACCAACATGTGTCCTGTCACACAACAAAACATTGGATCATGTTTATACGAACATTGCTGGAACTTACTATGCGGCCTCCCTTGCTTATCTGGGACAATCAGACCATTTTTCACTGTTTCTCACCCCCAGGTACTGTGGGACTCTCAAAAAAGCACCCATTAGATGCACTTTAATGCAATGTAATATAACTAATGTATATACTAGCAATAGCAGCTTTGTACAGTTTCACATATATGCATATATATTTATCTGTCTTGTAATTATTGTCCTGTACTTGCGCTATTGCACTACTGTTTAGATGCTAAACTAAATTTAATTGCATTGTTCTGACCATGTAATGACAATAATGTTGAATCTAATCTAATTTAATCTAATCTAAAACAGGACTAAAGCAGGATTTATGAATCTGTAAATGTTACGTATATTAATAAAGTTAACCTGTTTAACGTCCTGCTGGAAGACGCAGAGCTGCAGACGCTGATGGAGGCGGAGCTTACGGTGCTGCCACGCTGCCTCCACTTTGTGATGGCCCTGAGACACAAACACAGTGTGAACGCCATAGCCCAGTTTGACTGGTCTGGACCCGGTCTGAACCCGGACTGAACCCGGACTGGACCCGGTCTGAACTCCACTTGAACCGAACCAATTCACTTACCTGCAGTACCTGGTGGAGCACTCCCATGATGCCGTGCGTCGCAGCGCTGAAGTCTCTGGTCTCTGATTGGTCCGACTCGGGGACCGGACTTCTCTGCAACACCTCCAATAAGGCTTTACCGCTCTCACTGATCTGAGAGAAAACAGGCAATCAGACGCAGACTGGGGCAGGACTAAAGCAGAACTAAAGCAGCCCTAAAGCAGGTCTAAAGCAAGACTAAAGCAGCTCTTACTTGGGTGTAATTGGCTGAGATCTCCTCGTTCAGCTCCTGATGGACCTTCGTAGATTTTTCCAGTTCTGATGAGATCGAAGGCAGATCTCCGTCTGAGCACTGCTGCACCCATGAATCCACTTTGGACAGGAACTGGACAAAAACATACCATCGGGGTCATTTATTGATGGTAACGGACCATCTGGGTCATTTATTGAAACTGCAGTACTACAGCTCTAACTTTAACACTATTACAGCAGTACACACACTAAAGACACAAAACTGGTTAAAAAGCATTGTATAATGAGAACTGGTAGACTCTCGCCAGTTGTGCCCCCTAGTGGAAGGCAGTGGTCTCTCAGCTCCTGCGCTCCCTAGTGGAAGGCTGTGCTCACTTTTTGCGCCCCCTGGTGGAAGGCAGTGCTCTCACCTCTAGTGCCCCCTGGTGGAAGGCAGTGCTCATACTCAGGGTGATGCTTCTCTGGTCCAGTGCTGAGGTCAGATCGCTCCAGTCCTGCTGTAACCGTGATGACACTTTACTGATGCGGTCGGCGCCGTAGTGACCTGATTCGGCCAGACGGGCAGCGACAGTCACCACACTGTCCACGTTCACACTGCCATTCTGAGGAAGAGAGAGGAGTTATTAATGTAGCACAGCAGCAGCAGTAGTAACAACAGCAGCCGTAACAGTAGTAGCAGCAGTAGCAACAGAAGTAGCAGGAGTGGCAGTAAAAGCAGCAGTAGCAGGATTGCGTGTGTGAATGTCCAATCTCACGTAGAGACCCCTGACGTCTTCTGTCTGTCCCTACGTGGTCTTCTGTATGTTCTTATAAAGTCTTCTTTATGTCCTTATAAGTTCTTTTGTATGTCCTCACATGGTCTTCTGTTAGTTTCCACACAGTCCTCATACCATGCAGTTGGAGGTGAAGTGCTGGTGCTGCTGCTGTAGATCTTCTGAGTGCTGATGGTTCAGTCCGACTTCTGTGATCGACTGAAGGAAGAGCTCTTTACTGTGAGCGATCCACTCTGACATCTGTAGAAAAGTAATGGAATATTAGTGTGTGTGTGCGTGCGTGTGTGTGTGCATGTGTGTGCGTGAGAGTGTACGTGTGCGTTGGAGTGCGTTTGTGAATGTATGTGTGTGTGTGTGTCTGTCTGTCTGTCTATGTGTGTGTGTGTGTGCGTGTGTGTTGTATGTTTCGGTGTCTGTGTAATGTGTGTCTGTGTTGTGTGTATGTGTCTCTGTCTGTGTATGTTGTGTGTGTCTCTATGTGTGTTGTGTGTGTGTATATGTGTCTGTGTGTGTTGTGTTTATGTGTGTGTTGTGGGTCTTTGTGTGTACCTTAGTTGCGTCCTGCTCAAACAGATGCAACTGTAATGTCTGTTCCAGTTGGACCTTCCTCTCGCTCCACCTTTGCAGGAGACTGGTGCGCGCGCTCTGCATACGATCCAACATGGCCGACACTTTGGGCGCCACGCTCTGAAAGTCTGTGCCGCCAGAGAGCCACGTCCCTGCTGTGCTGGCCCCGCCCCCTTCTCCCGCCCCCTCACCACTGTGGGAGGGGCCTAAACGCATCCGCTGCAGCAGGCTCCGTCCCTCACGGTCCAACGCGTCCACCGGCGCCGTGGAGATGGTGTTTCTGAGGCGGCCGTGTTCCTCCAGCAACCTGAACAAGAGACCAGAGAGAAACCTGGTTCAGACCTGGTTCCGACATGGCTAAAACTTGTAATAATCCTGCTTTAATCTCCCTCTTCTATGTGTCCCCACATGGTCTTCTGTCTGTTCCCACATGGTCTTCTATATTCCCCAACATGGTCTTCTTTATGTTTCCATATAGTCTGTTGTATGTCCCTGTATGGTATTCTGTATGTCCCTACATGGTCTTCTGTATGTCCCCACATGATCCCCCGTCTGTCCTTGTATGGTCTTACTTGCGGGCCTCATCCACGTCCTGGGGCTCGCCTGGCCGGCTCAGCCCGCTCTCGAGGCTCTCAAGCTGGGTCAGAAGTTGCTGAGATGCCCCTGAGAACTCCTCCAGCCCCAGCCTGAGCTCGGTCCACTCCACATGGTCGTACTCCAGAGACCCCCCCAGGTCTGAGGTGAGCTGAGAGGGGTCGATGAGGCGGGACAGGCCCTCCACCGACACCAAGCTGGTCTGGAACAGGACACATGTTTAAACCTGGGGGATGTATGTTTAGTCTCATAGGTAAGATATGTTTAAAGCTGGGGTCTGCAACTTTAGTCGTATAAAACATGTTTAAAGCCGGGGCCTGTAACTAGTCCCAAAACTAAAACATGTTTACCATAACATAATGTCTTCATCTCCTGTGTGAGAATACGCCCTGTGAGTCACTCTCTGACTCTTTGGGCTGAGTGAGGGTGGTTCTCTCTTTGATCTAAAGAAGTGACATCACAAATACAATATGTGAGAGTTCTATTGTTGTTCTCCTCTCTACGTCCCTCCTCTTTAGTATTTACAGTAGTATTGAATATTAGTGTTGTAGTAGTAGGAGCATTAGTAGTAATTATAGCATTAGTAGTAGTAGATGTATTGTGTAGCGTAGTAGTAGGAGTACCTCAAAGGAGAGCTTGGCGCTGCCCAGGTTGGTCTTGTGCTTCTGCCAGAATGTGTCTGGTTTGATGAGGAGCGCGACATGGATGTGAGCGCTAAACGACTCCTGCAGCGTCCGCAGAACCGGCTTCACCGAGTCCCACTTACATCCGCGCATGTCCACCACCACAGTGAAACCCCGCCCACGGACCTCATCACTATGGAGACAAGAGAGAATCCCCGCCCACAAATCTCATCACTATGGAGACAAGAAAGGACAAAAGTGAACTCCAGACAACTGAGACCCCTGTGGGGTCTCCAAGGGGTCTATCCTCGGACCTTTTCTGTTCTGCGCTTACACAGCTCTAGTGAAACCAGAGAACTTACCTGGTTCAATTTAATTAGATTGAACAAGACATGGCTCCAACTGCAGGTGAAACTTGATCTGTCAGACCTCTGAAGCTAAGCAGATCAAGGCCTGGTTAGTGCTGGCTCAGAAATGTCCAAAATGACGTGCGCTGACATGCTTGCAATACCATCCCGGGCCAGTGGGGCTAGACCCGAAATAAGAATTATTCAATGCTAATGTATAATGGGTTTACAGGATGGTCCAAAAGTCGGCTCTTGGCCCAACGCTGCGTTCCAGATGCTGTCAATGCTGAAGGGAGTGTATTTTTTTTGGACCAGTCACGTTTTGTTGCTGTGGATTTTTGAAGGCACTCATCATCAAATGAATGGGGATCGTGCCGGCTGACTCATGTGCGAATGCGTTTTTTCACATTTTCCAGCCATTTTGAAACTGCACATGGACGACGAGACAGTGTTGGCACATTAGTTTCAACTGTGAAGATAGGCGTGACTACATCCGTTAAAGCTGCACTAACTGACTTTGAGATTTTGAAGCTGCGGACGCGCTGGCCTCGCTCTTTCTGCTCCCCTCCCCGCACCCACGAAGCTATCGCCCCCCACACACACCCACTGTTGTTGACGGAGCTAGCGTCTCCCAATATGGATAATACATGGATATGGATTTGCACGTGGATGGCGTGACCATAGAACGATAGAACCGGGAAGCGCGGAGGAACGGGACTTTCTTTTGGATGGCTGTCTCGCTGTGTAAGTAGTAACCGGTGACGAAGACGAGGAAGCTTCAGGTTAGCACCTCGGCTTGTTGTGCTAACTCAGCTGTCTGTGCTAACGGACCTGTAGATTTCTCACGAAAGTGGGGGCTAGTGGTCCGCTGTGATTGGTCACAATCTGCGACCCGAAACACATTCTCTTCCTTGTTTCATCAAAACTCGATCTAAAATATAATGTCACGCCAGCACAAATCTGCGCTACTTTTACTTCAAAAGGACGTATATTCCAATGCACTGCATGGACATGGATTGCATTTTCGTAATGAATACGAAAATAAAGTCAGTTAGTGCAGCTTTGATATTTACAGTCCATGAGGAACACCAGGTGCCATAGGAGGACCAGTGGTTTACTTTTAGGGTTTCCTTCCTTTAACCTCTGGGTTCTACATATTTACAACATGGAACTCCACTTTACGTCACTGACGCTCAGCCCGAGCTTTACAGCTTTACCCAGTATGCACCAGGATGTGTTGCATGTGACTTCTGCGATAAAGAGAGCAAGGGAATTAACACAGACATTTAGTGCTCCCCCATCAAGGCCCACACCAGTCTGTAAGTCAGTGCTTTTCAAATAGTGGGGCGCGTGGTGCGATGCCAGGGGGGGCGCGTGTAGCCTGGCTCTGCCAGACCCATGTAGTTCCACCATGCTCCACCAGAGGTGTTTGGCTGAACCACATTGGTCTGGTACTCTTTGATAGGAGTTCGATTTCAGAACGCAGGGCATTGTAGAAAAAATCCTTGTATGTGATTGGATAAACCACTTGGATAAACGACTCCCATAGGTTGCCAAATAAGTCACTTTAAGTCACCGTATAAGACTGAAAGAACCTGCACTACTATTGACACTGTTTCTGGTTGCCAGTCTTTAAATTGACACTTGACACTTTTGTTGTACATAATATACCAAACTCCTTCTGCTCTGGACAGTTCCCACTTCCAGCGGCTGTGATCACGGCGAACGGCGCTGCGTAATGGGATCATATCCAAAACCACGCACAGAACTATTCTCTAGTGTGCGTACGTGTCTTTGCGTAACCGATGCACACAATATGTACAGCGCTGAAGCTGGACTGCGGAGCTCTCTTCCGTGTCTTCTCCCGAAGCGCACTCGCTAAATTAAAGCTGAGGTACCTAATTTTCCTTTCGACTACCAGTTCATGTTTAGTTGTGCCAAAAAAAGTAATGGTGTGAGAAAATCAAACAGATTTAATGACATTCTGCTTCAGACTATTTTGAAATGTCCCTCATCTGTAACAAACAATGGTTTTGGTCTGAGTCTAAACAGAAAGACAGAATGTTAATAATGTTAATTCCATTTTATATGGATTTATTGTTGTAACAAACAAATACAGTACATATGTTCACTAAGCTGTCATTTATCTTTCCATTCAAACAACCATTTACAGAAAAATATGGCATAATTTTGCCAATAGTTTGAAATGCGATTAATTACTATTAATTAATTTTTAAGCTGTAATTAACTCGATAAAAAAAAATATCGTTTGACAGCCCTAAAAATAAGTCATTTTATTAATTCTAATATTACGGGTAAGTCCCGCCTTCCCTTCTCTTAGCTATAGCTCAGAATCGAGGATGCCGTCGAGGTTAACCAATCGAGTCATGCCAAGGGCTGTCAATCATTGGCGCTGATGCTCGCAGCTGCGCGCATGCTCAGTTGTTTGTTTTTGCGGAGCCTCTGAATCAAGCCTCCATTAGGCTCTGGAAGTACATGAAAACTGAACAAAGAATTCTGAACAACTGCGCTGAGGTACTTATGTATATACTGAACCTATATCCATAATCATTTATATACTGAACCTATATCCATAATCATTTATATACTGAACCTATATCCATAATCATTTATATACTGAACCTATATCCATAATCATTTATATACTGAACCTATATCCATAATCATTTATATACTGAACCTATATCCATAATCATTTATATACTGAACCTATATCCATAATCAGATCCTCTGCAGATGTGTCCTATAATGTGCAATACATGATAATAGCTTGGTCCGGGTTTGCAGCGATCGCTTTTTTTGTGCATAAAAACAATATATTTTTCATTAAAACGTTCACAAATAATTCTGAAAACCTCCATGCATGTGTATTAATAATGTATATGTATAATGTGTTCTCTGATTAACATTTCAAAGTGTTTCAAAGTGTTCTCTCCCACTTCCTGTTTCTCACCTGGGAACCGTCGCCAGGTACGTGACCAATCGGCTCAGATCTTCCTGCTTTATTCTGTCGTGATTGGTTCTGGCTGGAAAGGTCAGGATGGGTCCACCTCGTTTGTCCCGCCCACCTGAACAGATAATCAATCATTATGGGAGACTAAAACTCACAAAAATATTAAATATGTGATTTAAGAAACACATCTGAAAATAATTGTTTAAAAAACATGAATAGGTAAAAAAAGGATTGAGCTGAAAAAAGAAATCATAACAATGACCATAATGCCTTATTGTTATTATCTGTCTGCATTTATTTATTCCTAATTAAGTTTCATTTTATGTTTATGTCTCATTTATCTCTTAACTTTTAATGGGACAGTGTCTAATATTTTAAATGACGTCTCCATCTGTTATTAGAATCAGAATCAGGATTATTTTTATTTCTATTGTGAGTAACAAGAAGTCACAAACTTTCTTTGGCTGTAGATGCAAATGTATATGTCCTCTAGAACAGACACATGTATTGCTGCTTTTCCATAGTAACGGCACGGCGCGGTTATTTTGCATTTCCACTGGGGTTGGGCTTGGGATCAGGGTACTTTTTTCGTACCACCTCGACAGTGGTTCCAAGCGTGCCGAAGCTACATCATAACTTGACGTCAGCCGACTGCCTTACACTGATTGGTCAACAAGTGTTGTCACTGGAAGCGACGGCTGACCCTATGGTAAAAACAACTGAACCCCGCCATCTTTAAAACCGGCTACTCGTCCTCCTCACTCGAGAGAAATGGAAGCGCACAGAAAGCCCAAAAAGTCAGCGGCCTGGTCGGTCGACGAGGTCCACACCTTACTCTCTTTAGGCCGAAGAAAGAATTCAAAGGCAGCTCGAACGCACAACACGGAACAAGAAGGTTTTCATAGAGATCGCCCAGCTCTTGATTGACTAGTCTGTGGTAATACTGGAAATAACTGGTTAGCTATGTATCCAGTTGGCCCAAAGCTCTAACTGAAATTTACTTACTCGTGTAAAAGTTTGTCTGTTGTACACAGTGAGCTAGCTACATTTAGCTATCGATAGCGAGCTAAGCTAAAACGTCTTTCCTGTGCTACTGTGCTGTATTTTGCTCTTTCACGTGTTGCCATTCATTTTGTGCTTGTACTTAAGTTGTCGTGTGTATATTTATTTGTTTGAAAATCCCTTCCCACAAGTGAGGAGATTACCAACAAGCAATGAGGTCCGTGTACTTTTGCGTTCAATACATTTTCTATTTTTGAAGGGAAACGGAAAATCGAAAAAAGGCTATTTTGCATTTTCAGGCACACAGCAATATACAAAAATGACCATTTTGGGTTTATTCATTGCTTATAAGACATCTATATTATAATAACCGGATTTGGGAACTAGAAAAGGCAAATATTAACCTTTTTTTAATATGTATTTAATATATTTCGGTGTCAATTGATTACCCGGAAGTGAAACAAGTTTGTTTACTTCAGCCCTATTCGCGCTAATTACACAAATGACCTCCTGTATTTGTCCAAACACAGACGTCCTGTGATAATACTAATCTCGTGAGAATCTACATGTCCGTGATTGTGATCGCTATCGCCGCTTTCGCTTTACTTTCTGCGTTGTTTTTTGTCAATGAGCAGAGGAGTGGCGTCGCGGCTGTGAACAGCTGCAGAGTTGCGGCTGCTGCTGTCTCTGTGAGGTCTATGGAGAAGTGTAGAGGACAGTGTAATGTGTTCACTGACACTACATGATCAGACCGATGGGTTGTGTTTGTACGTTTACTTTGCACTAATACAGTCCTAATACAGTACAGACGTGTTGCTGCAGCCGTTACTATTTGTCGGCTCGCACGTATCTTAGGTCTTAGGGTGTATTCAGACCTGAAAAGTCCTTTGCTCCGCTTGCTTGATCCGAATCAAAAGCAGACCAAACTTTTTTCTTTTGCTCCGGTTCGTATTCAGACTGTCCTTTTTGCAAGTGAACTTTTTTATATAAACATATCGACACGTGTGACGATCCGCGCTCCTATTGGACAGCGAGAGCTCACGGAGGATAGACGCGGAACCGGAGGAAAACATTGAGATCGTATGTGCAGCATGTCTGCTCTGCCCATGTTTGCTCTTTTTAGAGCGAAACCACCTTCAAAATCAACAGCAGCAGCTCATATGACACAGGCGAAACACGTTGTTTTAAATATTGGAACAGCGTCGGAGAATGTGTGAGGAGAAAGCCAAAGGAGACTCTGTGCTACGTGTCCTGTCCCACACATGGATCTATGATAATAACGGCCCTGTTCAGCATTGTGGATAAACCATGGATCTATAATAACCACGGGACAAACAGACGCTGAGGATCAGGTAGGAACCAAAGAACACAATTCACTACATGATGCGGGATATTTCTTTTTGAGACGTGAGTCAAACAGTGTCAGGTTTTTAATAATGCAAAGTATTTAAAGATGCTGCCATTAACATCAATGTATACTGTGAACAGTTGTAACTCCATAAGCCTGTTGCACAGCGTCTCCTCACTGCTCCAGGTCTGCACACGGCTTATTGTTGTTAGCAGCGTTAGCATCATAGTTAGCATCATAGTTAGCAGCATAGTTAGCAGCATAGTTAGCCGCTGCATGGCTAATTCCTCAGTTTCTGTCTGCGGCTTGTTAAGCCCAAAAAATGCGCATGTATCTTGGAGTTGTGTCGGATCGACACCGGATGTATTCAGACCTGATTCGACTTGGACCAGAATTCGTTTGGAAGCGGACCGAGACCACCTCAAAAAGTGGGTCTCGGTTCGGTTCTTTGGTCCGGACCAGGATTCGTTTGTGTGTATTCAGACCTGCATAAAAGATTCGGATCAGAGTTCCAAACGAATCCTGGTTCGTTTAAAGTGGAGCAAATGTGCAGGTCTGAATACACCCAGCAATGAAAAAACCAAATGGTCTTTTTTGTATATTGCTGTGTGCCTGAAAATGCAAAATAGCCTTTTTTAGATTTTCCATTTCCCTTCAAAAATAGAAAATGTATACATAGTTCCCACAGACCAATGAATGTCACATGACCTCCTCGGAGACGCCATCTTTGATGGCACGCTGCTGTGTTTGTGCATTCCATTAAACAGAAGAATGAGAATAAATGTAGATATTCAAACGCAAATTGGAAAAAAAGGGCAACTTTTGAGCAAATAATTGTATATTAATACAATGGCACCACAGTTTAACGTGCTACGGACATGTTTTACATATTTGATCAAATTATGCAGCAAAAATTAACAAGCAATGCAAACATTTCTCAAAAACTTTAGATTTAATACCAGTTGGAGCTCCATTTAATTATTTTAATTATATTAACAATTAATTTAATTAATGCTAATGCCACACGGACACTCTGGATTGCTGTTATTGTTTATTTCCGCGTTTTTGACCGTATGTTTTGGTGAATGGTGGGCAACTGATTTTTCCAGGCGTAAAGAGCAGTTTATTTTATGACACAGATCTTTTTACAGAAGCAATGCTGTTTGTGAACATTGTTTTAGCCCACCATAGAACTATTATTATCTATTTAATACATTTACGTTGCCCTCGAGAGCCTCGGACGCGACACCGATCCTCCTCATAATAAAGTAATCTAACGCTAAATAATGAAACTCTCAAGTTACCAGGTATCAGCATACACAAGTTAGTACTGAGTAAATTACGTCTGTCAACACATTATGAGATACGATACGCACCTGACACAAAGTGCTCCGAGCATATTCTTGCGTGTTTTGAGGGAGTTTCTTGCCTGTTTATCTTCGCAAGCCATAACCTCCGTGGTTGTTCTGACAAAAGCTTAGTCTTCTCACATTCATGAAGTCTAATGATGGGTATACTGTAAAATCCAAGTTTAACGGAACCTCCGGCACGATTTGAACATCCATTGACCCAGCAGGAGATGACCATTTTCAACTTTATCACGACATTAACACGTTTCAGCTTCTTTTTCTATTTTTTTGCCCACAGAATGCCAAGACAAATGGCGCCAGGTCGGCAAATCCCCGTATGTAGTGACGTCATGTGGGAACTATGTATTGAACGCAAAAGTACACGGACCAATGAGTCACCACTCGTCTCCTCACCTGGTTTCAAGAGACATGCGTGTTTTGGATTTTGTAAATTGTTGGTTTTGCCCTTTACTTTTGTTTTGAATAAATCTGTGATCGTATCAAGACTTTGTTTCATTCATTTGTCTGTACAGATGCAGAAATGGGGTTCAAAAGCAAAAGTTACGATTTCCTACCATATACTTTTACTTCTATTTACATTACATACATCATATTTGTCAGTAAATCCGTACAACCGTGGTAAATTTATGAACAAGGATGGACGCATATTTGCTAAATACAAAAAGGTTTTATTTTTGATCAAAACACAAGGGCAAAATAAATGTTTAGGCATATGATTTTTATCATATATTACTTTTTAACTTCTTCTCACTCCTTTTTTGAGTTGATACTTAGTTATTTAAAATAAATATATATTGTAAATCCCCAACTGAAAAGATCTCAGCTCCTGTGGACTCACCACCTGCAGGAGGATCAGTGAGGGGCTGGTGCTATGTGTACTGGGTGCAGCTCTGACTGCCGCCCCCCGACCCAGAAATGGATTAAGGGGAAGAAAATGGATGGATGGATATATTGTAAATCTATGTAATGAACTCGAAATATAAACATCTCATTTCAAATGACAAAAAGTGACACATCAGACCAATGTTACTAGTTAAGCGTCAGCATAAATGACGTGGTCTGACAACCCCTCCCACGCAAATGGAGGTACTATGACTATGAAAAAGCGGCATGTGTGTCCTTTATATTATCAGGTTTGTACCTGAGACAAAAGCCACCTTCTCTCTGAGCACTGTCAGGACGTCTGCCGCTCGCACCACCTCCTTCTGCTCCGGACCTGAAACACAAACATGTTTATGTACTCTGCAGTGCCCCCTGTGGTCAGTGCTCTACAGCGCCCCCTGTGGTCAGTGTGGTACTTGCAGAACACTGAAATCTCATAACAGATAAGCCCCCCAGTGTTCATTTTCTCCCAGTGGAGGTGGGATCCCTCCAAAACGTCCATGAGCATGTGCGCTAACATACTTGCAATTTCACCCCGGGTGGACCCAGAAAGAGAATTATCGAATGCTTTTGTATGGCATCTTCTTTCCTCTCGAAAACCTATTTACAGGATGGTCCAAAAGTCGGCTCTTGGCCCAAAGCTATGTTCAAGATGTGTGTCAATGCTGAGGGGAGTATATTTTATGGACTACTCTAGTTTAACCGCTGTAGACTTCAGAAGGCACTCGTTAAATGAATGGGGCCGGTAGCGGCCAACGCAAAAGCACATTTTGTTTTTTCACATTTTCCTGAAGGAGGGGTTGCCTGCGGCCATTTTGAAAAAGCCCCATAGTAGCCAATAGTGATGGCACATTAGTTTCAATGGCGGAGATAGGCGTGACTATGTCCGTTATTATTTGCAGCCTATAGTTCTTCCACAATAGAACTCTGTATTAAACCCGTGTCTCTAGTTCTGGCTCTACAGTTGCTTCTAGCTTACTAGTTTCACATCACATGTTTCTAGTTTCTGTCTCATCTTCAGCTCACTACGTTGTTATTTCTGGGACTAAAGTTACAGACCCCAGTTTTAAACATGTTAGTTAAAGGCACAATCATCTACTACTACTGCTTCTACAACTAATACTGCTATACTCCTACTTCTACTGCTGCTACTACTACTACTACTTCTACTGCTGCTACTACTACTACTACTACTACTACTACTACTACCGCTGCTGCTGCTTCTGCCATTCACATAATATTAGTGATGTACATGATACCATATGCATTCATTCATGCTCCACTATACAGATACTACTACTACACCCCCCACACGCACAAACATACACATGCACTCAAATATGCACACGCACGCGCACACTTTCGCACAGAACGATTGCGCACGCACGCACACACACAAACAAACATATATACAAACACACGACGATATCAAGGAGCTAACACGTGACCCTGATGAGCCAACACAACGGCTCAAGGCTAGAGAATAGGTCTGGCCAGACCTGGACCAGGTCTCGACCAGGTCTAGACCAAGTCTGGACCAGGTCTAGACCAAGCCCAGACCAGGTCTGAGATCTTTAGGATCTGGGCTGCTGAGATTTGCCGCGGGACAAAAGGACCCGTGGCCGTCTCGGAGTCACGTGACCCACAGGTAATTACGGCGCTACGTGTGCGTGAGCACAGGCCTCGCGCGTGCATGTGAGGAGGTAATGGGCGGATGTGGAGCAGATGCAGAAGAAGAGGAGACTGAGGAGGAGACTAAAGAGGATACTGAAGAGGCTTGATGGCGGTTGCGCGCACGCACACACATACACGCACACAAGCAAACACTAACGCACGCATGCACGCGCACAGACCTGCCGCGGTGAGCTCCGGGCCCGTGTCTGCCTCCGCCGGGTTCATCCTGCTCCCGGTCTGCTCCGGTCTTCTCCGGTCTGCTCCCGGTCAGCTCCCGGTAATTCCAGTCTCCCACGCAAACCCTACACCCGCGAGGTTCCGGTGCTCGTGCTCGTGGACGCGGCCCACATCCCGCCGCTACGCTCCGTGTCTGTCCGTCTGTCAGATGCAGAGCGCGTGCGCAGAAGGCTCACACTGCTCGTGCACTGCAGCTGGAGCAGGTCACGCCCCTCTGCTACGTCCCGTGCGTAACGTCAGCCTCATTCCAGCACATCTGTCATCGATCATCGATGCGAGTATCATTGAGATCGATCTTGAGGGTCCAAAGACCGTGTGTGTTGCGCGTGTGTGTATCAGTGTGTACGTGTATGTCTGTGTGTGTGTTTGTATCAGTGTGCGTGTGTACCTTGTGGTCTCTGCACTTCTCTGACAATGTTTAAATCCAGGTTAAAAAAAATTCTGTTTAGCTGTGCATAACTGAGGGATTTTTGTATCTTTCTTTTTTAATGTTCTGTGAGTATGTATTATCTATTTTCAATGCCTTGTGTGACTGTTTATATGTTGTTTTGTTCAGCACTTTGACTCGCCTTGTGTTTGAATTGTGCTATACAAAAGAAGTTGCCTTACCTTGTGTGTGTGTGTGTATCTGTGTGTTTATGCGTAAACACACAGATAAACATGTCCCTTCATTCTGGAATATTCCCAAAGGCCCTGAAAACTGCAGTCATCAGGCCCCTGCTAAAAAAGAGCAGTCTCGATGCTACGGTACTTAACAACTATCGTCCCATCTCAAATCTGCCTTTTATGGGGAAAGTCCTTGAGAAAGTTGTCTACCTACAGCTTACTAGATTTCTTATAATCAACAACTCATTTGATATGTTTCAGTCCGGCTTTAGACCCCACCACAGCACTGAGACTGCTCTCGTTAAGGTTACAAACGATATCCGGCTGAACACTGACGCAGGCAAAGTCTCAATCTTAATCCTGTTAGATCTAAGTGCTGCCTTTGACACTGTCGACCATGAGACCCTCTTACAGAGATTAGAGGACTGGTTTGGAGTCGCTGGCACCGCCCTAAGTTGGTTTAGGTCTTACCTTGAGGACAGGAAGTACTTTGTGGAGATTGGAAACTGTGTCTCAGATCATATGGCGTACCACAAGGGTCGATCCTGGGACCTCTTCTGTTCAATCTCTACATGCTGCCGTTAGGTCAGTTAATACGCAGAAACGAAGTTTCTTATCATAACTATGCAGACGACACTCAGATCTATGTCTCACTGACTGCAGGAGAACATGGACCAGTGGACTCACTCCTTCACTGTATCCAACAGATCAGTGAGTGAAAACAACTTCCTTCAGCTAAACGCAGACAAAACTGAAATGATTGTCTTTGGTCCCCAGAAACAAAGAGAGAGCGTCATCTGTCACCTACAGTCTCCCTCCCTAAAACCTTCAAACAAGGTCAGAAATCTAGGGGTAATACTGGACTCAGACTTAAATTTGAATAGCTAAATCAAATCAGTAACATCAGCAGCTTTTTACCATCTAAAAAACATTGCCAGGATCAAAAACATAGTGTCTAAAGCAGACCTGGAGATTCTTATCCATGCATTTGTCTCCAGTAGGTGACTACTGCAATGGCCTGCTCACAGGTCTGTCCAAACAGGCTGTAAAACAGCTGCAGTACATTCAAAATGCAGCAGCTCGAGTCCTGACTAGAACCAGGAAGTACGACCACATTAGTCCAGTCCTCAGGTCTCTGCACTGGCTTCCTGTGGCTCAGAGAATAGACTTTAAAACAGCTCTGCTTGTGTACAAGTCTCTCCATGGCCTCGCACCAAAATATATTAGTGACATGTTAGTCCCATATGAACCAGCCCGGACTCTGAGGAGCACAGGGACTGGACTCCTGTTAGTGCCCAGAGTCAGAACTAAACATGGGGAGGCTGCTTTTCAGATTCATGCTGCTAAAATCTGGAACAGTCTTCCTGAAGATGTGAGACAGGCCTCCTCTCTGACAATGTTTAAAACCAGGTTAAAGACAGTTCTGTTTAGCTGTGCATACAACTGAGGGATTTTATATTTGTATCTTTCTTTTTAATGTTCTGTGATTATTTATGATTTTAATGCTTTCTTGTTTTGTTCAGCACTTTGAATTGCCTTGTGTATGAATTGTGCTATATAAATAAACTTGCCTTGCCTTGCCTTATGCGTGTATTTGTGTGCGTGTGTATCTGTATCTATGTGTATGCGTGTATATCGGTGTGTGTCAGTGCATGTGCGTGTGTGTGTGTGTGTGTGCGTGTCAGTACGTGTATCAATCATAGACTGCATATATTAATCAATCAATATGCTTGTAAATCAGTGTGTGTTCATCAGTGTGCGTGTGAATGAGTGTGCAAGTGTGTCTATATGATTGTATTAGTGTGTGCGCTTGTGTATCAGTGTGTGTGTGTGTGTGTGTGTATGTATGCTACCCTACCCTACTCTACTCTACGCTATACTCTACACCTTGGGGTACCAGGGCCTTCTTTAGTTCCTCTTGGTCCTGGTTCTATGCAGGCCGAGCGCGTAGTGTTCTAACTGACAGTGCTTGTCCAGAGTGCTGGAAGCCATGGTGACCAAGGAATTTCCTTGTTTGTTGTGGGGGTTATGATACGGTACCAGATACTAAAGCATAATGGAAACACAACCAAAGAAGAGTGGCAGGAAACAGGGATTGTCTGACTTTACATTACAAAGGTCTAGTATGAATGAAGGACTGCACTGAAGGGGAGAACGTGGATATTCTCCTCTGTAGGTTTAACAACAATCAAAATCAAATCTGTTGATTCCAATGGATCACTTTCACAGCGGCCTGGTGTATGCTGCCATCTGCTGGACACAAGCCGCACATACAAGACCACGCTCATGTTTTTTAACGGATACAAAAACAACTACATAAATCTACACGGCCGTTTCTGCTGTGATCTTCACATCTTCACAGATCTTCTTAAAATATTTGTTTTAATTTTAGTTTAAAATTACATTGGTGCAGAAATATGGGCGTAACGGAGATGGCGTTGCTATGGAAACAGAAACAGGCTACCTTCCAACGCTAACCGTTTATCTGTCAGATTTAACTATTGAACAAATCAACGCGTTTTGTTATGAAAGCCTCGAGCGAAACAGGGCCAAAAACAGGCACAACGGCAAAAAATAAAATCCACGATTTTCATGTTATTTTTAAATCCCACTTACATGCTAACATAGCTAATATGCTAACAGCGAGGGAAGGCTAACGGTGTTTTGAGAGATTTTCACCGGGATTAGTGTTTCCTTCCCGGGGTTAGGAGCGGAAGGTGGTCGATCCCGAAGAAACAGCACAGGCATACCATAGACTGTAAATATTAGTACATATTTATCTTATTTATATTGAGTCTGGGGAGACATGGATGTGGATGAAATCGTGTCGGAGCTGGAGAAAAGTTTGAAGAAAAGCAGCAGCGATGCTCAGATAATTCTCCATCTGAACCAGAGGCTGAACGGTGAAAACTACACTTTATCACTCTCAAACAATATTGATAATTGTTTATATATTCAATAATATTACAGCTTGTCTGGCATTACGCTAAAAGGGGGTCTATGCAAATGTTCTGGTCTCGTAAAACTGTGTTGTCTCGCCATCCATCTCTACTAACAAGTTTTAATGTAAAATAGTACCTTATTTTTTGGATTCTCCTACACACATAAATATCACAAGTTTTAAGACAAAATCATAATTTTCAATTAGTGTTACTTATGTTTATTGTGTGTGTCTATGTATGTGCGTCTGTGTGTGCGCACATACAGTGTGTCTGTGTGTACGTGTGAGTGTCTGTGGCTCACTCCACACTAAACTGTACCATTGCTCGATCTAACTTCAATAAAATAAATGTATGAACTAAAACATGTTTGTACCTAAACATTTTTTAACTATGTAGCATATATAAATGATATATATATATATATATCTATGTAGCATATATATATATATATATATATATATATAACACGCAAATCAATATTAACGCCGTCATTTTTTTTATCGCGCGATAAAAAAAATTACTTTTTATTGCAGACAAACACATAGAAACAAAGAAAAGGACTAGTTCAGATACATTGTAGACAGAGATTACAAACAATATGTAGTTGGAGATACAGGGGGCCAAAGAAGAAACCCAGAAGGGCACATAGGAGGGGAGGGACATGAAGTGGGAGATGGGGGGAGGGGTTAATAAAAAAGGCAATACAAGCAAACAGTATACAGTCATAGATATACCGAAGGTAAACAGAGAAACAGCATAGAGTATTTACATGAACAAATTTACAAAATATTTACAGATTGTTTATCATCATCATAATGACACCATGATGTTTCTATACAGTCTATGGTCTATACCCACACATACACACACACACCCACACACACACATTGAAGGTGCTTTTTGTTACCAATTATTTATTTTGTCATCCATTTATTGATGATTTTGCATCAAATGTTAGTGTGTAATATAACACTACACATTGTTTTCAATAAAAAAAGCAATTGCACACAGCACGCAAATGTGTGACTAATTTGCGATTAATCGCGAGTTAACTATGAAATTCATGCGATTAATCGCGATTAAATATTTTAATCGTTGGACAGCACTAATATATATATATATAAAAAAAAAAAAAAAAAATTGTCCACTCACCTTTGGCCCTCCGCGGGCGGTTATCCCTCTCTAAGCTCGGGTCCTCTACCAGAGGCCAGGGAGCTTGAGGGTTCTGCGCAGTATCTTTGCTGTTCCTAGCACTGCACATTTCTGGACCGAGATGTCCGAGGTTGTTCCGGGGATCCGCTGTAACCACTCATCTAGCTTCGGGGTCACTGCCCCGAGTGCACCGATCACCACGGGCACTACTGTCACCTTTACCCTCCAGGCCCTCTCCAGCTCCTCTCTGAGACCTTGGTATTTCTCAAGCTTTTCATGTTCTTTTTT